ATCACTATTAAGTTTAAGAATTATTAAGTTTTTTTGTTTATATCGCATTTAAATAAGTAATTTTGATCAGAACGCGCCAATATACAAATAAACTTGCAATTGTCTACATATGTTTGCAATTTTTCGCCGCAGGCTGAATGGAAACAAAACGCCATAAAATTGAATTAAGAAACGGGATGCAGGCAAAAGGTCGTTGGTGGTACCAATTGTACCACCAGTGGTCAATGTACAAAAAAAATGCAGGTTAAATAATAAGATCTTGCGTTTGTACAGGGGTATTTTTAAAATTAATTAATTAAATTGCGATACAAAAAACATCAAGAGTTCTTTTTTATTCAAAATAATCAAAAACTGCAACTTTTCGTAGAGAAACCATGATCACAAAAAAACACATCAAATACATCTGTCCACTTTCACTCCATTGCAATTCAGTTTAGTGAAATTACTGTTAGGCACAAAGTAACTAAAATCTTGTTGGTGCTAGTAAAAGCTGACTATCAAATGTCGCAAAATGTACGCGATCGTTTCGATGCAAAAATTCAAATTTCCCTCTAGACTTGTTTTCTATAAAGATTCTCGTAAGTTAAGATAAAGTTTGCAATAAAAACGGCACGTGTCCCAAATAGACAAATGAGATAAAATAACATATTTTCCACCCAAATATCCCAAATATGTTAAGTCATTGTAAATGCATTGCGAGCATAACTAGCCAATTCGATTTCTATTCATTCTTCAAAGGAAGATGCCTAGCAGCAGGTAGATACTGAAAGGAAATATGGATGACAAAAGGAACGGTTAATTTGAAAAGTTTTCTACCTGGTCATTAAGAACACGTGTTAAATTTATTGATATAAAAGAAAATTGGGATCTGACCTATAAGTAGCCATTTGCAAACTTCCAAAATTTCACGAAACTCAAATAGAAATCAAAATGATCACTTAAAATATCTTTAGCTTTTTTATGAAACTCCCTATACTTACCTATACAGAAAGAAATACGTTTTGATTGATGGAAAATTGATTTTATGTAAAACTTTAGCCCAAAGATATGTAAATTCTTAATTTTAATAAATAAAATATGTATACATGTTTACTTGCATCTTTGTTAATGTTAATTTTATTCATTGATTGACATTGCCCAGATAGACCCTTAAAGTAAATATTTAAGGTTTTTACATACCTCTGCATAATGGAGATCTCATTTTCAAAAGTCATCATGGTTCCAGACTGGACAAAGAATATGTACACCATCTTGGACTAAGATGTACAATTCTTGAACGGAACTTATACCCAAAATTTCTCCTAAAGTTCAGATGCTACCTGCAAAAATAATTAAACATTGTAAGGACAAGAAACAACTGTACTCATGTAAATTACATAAATCACTTTGTAAATTATTTTTGTTTAAAATGATCACATACCTACGCGGATATAACAGATTTTCGTATACTTTTTATAATTTCATGAAATATGAGAATTTCGCATAAATAAGAGAATTCGGAGTCAAAACTGAATTAGGTACTCGCCCTTTTCAGGCAAGGGTACTAATGGTCAGTCTCCGATGATTTTAAGTTTGTTCCTGCTGACCATTCCAGAGTACTAAGATAAGCGTAGTTGCCAACTGTGCTAAGGGATTTGTAACGCTAATTCAAAAGAGGCATTTTTGAACAGATTCTCCACTTGTGCAATTACCCCCATAACAACATGTCTCTGTTGCTATAAACCACTAGTCAAATAATGTCGATCATTGTAGTCAACATTCTAACCGATAGAAATTAATTTATATAGATGTGGGAACACTTTTTTGGTAGATATTCGTCACAACGTTGCAAAAGCCACTTCAGTAAATACCGCCAATACGAAAAAGTAGGTATATTTGGGATGAAACGGTTTTTGCAAAGTCCGAAACTATGAATTGCAAGAAAACCTCTACATAGAAAATTTATTAGTAATGCTTGTAGTCTGGGCATCGATTAGGTAGAAGTGAGATGAACATAAAAAACGTCAGAATTTTTATTAATACTGCTCAAATGGTACTAGAAAAATTCCATTCCTAATTTAACATCGTGTCTGGCCGATTTAAATACGCAGACTTTAAACTATTAGAGACGCTCAAAATGCAAAAGAACTGCAATACAATACATCCATGATTTAAAGAAATGTATATCGACAACGTATCTCATAACAATAATTAAATGGCGTACACAAAGTATATGCGCACCCAGATCGACAAACATATGAAATAAGAGCAGAACATTTCTTTCTTAACTAACAGCATAAGAAAATTAAAACTTAGACTATAATAATAATGACAAATACAACAAAAGATCTAACTTGTCATAGTGGTAAATAAGGTTCGTAAGAATCCTTCTATAATTACGTTACCTATAAGCATATTAGTAGGCTTTTTCTTGTCAGAAATTCGTCAAAAACTCCCATCAGGATTAAACATTTAGGACATATGAAACAAAGGAAGCCCTATTCAACCTTGGATCAAGCAACTTCTTAGTACGGCACATTTGAGAGCAATTAAGCTTTGAAAACTAGCGTGTAAAATGTTCAACTTGAAACCGATTTGATATCGGCATTTTGAACATTTCGGCAAAATTTGCAAAAAAGTCCCATGACGATGAAACTTTTAGGACACACAGGAGCAAAGGAATTTCTATTCAACCGTGCATCAGGCAACTTTCTAGTTACAGTCAAGAGAAATTAATTTCTGAAAACTAACGTGTAAAATATGCAGCTTGAAACAGACGGTTTGACATCGGCATATTAAAAAAATCGGCAAAATTCGCCCAGCAACTCGCATCAGGATTAAACTTTCAGAACATATGAAGCAAATACTTGAAATCAAATGTACTAATATTTTTAGTACATTTGAGAGAAATTAATTCTTGAAAACTAGCATGCAAAATGTGCAGCTTGAAACACACGATTTACATCGGCAATTTCAAAAATTTATAAAAACTCTCATCGCGCCGGAACTTTTACAAAATGTAGAGCGCAAAATGACGCAATTCAATTATGGATCAAACATCTTCCCGGTTTAGTAGATTCAAGAGGAATTAATTTTTGAACACTAGCGTGCAGTTTGAAACAGACGGTTTAACATCGGCATTTTCAAAAGTTCGGAAAAATTCGTCAAAAGATCCCAACAGGATTAAACTTTCAGGATATATGAAGCAAAGGAAGCCCTATTCAACCATGAGTTTGAATTAATTAAAAGTTTTGAAAAATAGCGTGTAAAATGTGCAGCTTGAAACAGACGATTTGAAATCGGCATTTTGAAAAATTCGGCAAAATTCGCAAAAAAAGTCCGAAAGTCGAAAGAAGTCCGGTTTCCGAATAATCGCGTTTCAAAGTTGTAGAAGCAATTAAACTTGCGTGCATATTGGTTTTCAGGTTAGTGTTTACATAAAAACAATTTTATTGGGTCTTCTTGTAATTCAAATTATTAGAATAATAGGCTACGCTGTTAAAATCGTTGAATAACTGGAAGAAAATCTAGTTTAGACATTGATTTTTTTATTTTGATCTAATTTCTTATTTATTGATTATTTTACATCGACTAAAATAACTTTTCATTTGCGTAAATTTCGGAAAACTTCACCGGGAATTGACTGGCATTCTGCCGCAATTCGCCTTTTAAGGTCATCAATATCAGCAGGATGTGTTTTATAAACAATTAACTTCAGATGTCCCCAAAGAAAAAGGTCTAAGGGTGTTCAATCCGGTAGTCTTGGAGGCCATTCAATTGGTCCCCTTTTGCCAATCGATCTATCCTGGAATATCTTATCAATGTTAGGGAGAGTTCGAAAATAGACTTTATTATTGTTTACACGAAAATAGACAACATTTTGAACAGCTTTAAGATAGTGCGTAAGTAGATCCCATGGGCTCTATTGTAGAAATTTCCTCCTGTAAATAAAAAGGGATTTTTTCTCGAAGTAAAATAATCAATAAATCCGAAATCAATTGTTTAAACGATATTTTTTTCCTGTTATTTAACGATTTTAACGGTGTAACCGAATTTTCTAATCATTTGGACTATAAAGACTCAATGACATAATTTTGTTTAAACACTAATCTGAAAACCAAAATCTCAATGCAGGCAAGTTTAATTGTTTCTGTAATTTTGAAACGCAATTCTTCGAAAACTTTTGAACAAAAGCAAGAAAGTAGTAACTAATGTAAAGAGAATTGAACGGCCTTTGAAACGATGAGCCACTTGTCCCCCCTCCCCATTTGAGATTCTAAGGGTGAGTTCCACCCGTCTTAGGGGGTTGAAACAAAGAAGCTAAAAATATTAATTTAAAGTGCCCCCCTTACAAATAAAATTTACAGGTCTTTCCGATTTTTCATATTTAAACTGCAAAAATATATTAAGGATGGGAAGTTTTCCAATTGACACCCGGTATGTAAGCAAATAATGGAAAGTGAGTGTGGCGTCGAACAGAAGAAAGATTGAACTAAAAATTGATAACGAAATGTGAGAGCTTATAAAACAACTAAGTTTCTGAGGAATCTGCATAAAATCGGTTCATTAGCATAAAAGTTAGAAGACTTTCAACTGCACCAAAAATGCACTGAACTAAACTGGGTGCATAAAAGATGATAGCTACTTTTTAGTTGATAACTCTGTCGTGCTGCAAATATTTTAAATTGTTAGCCGTGGGTGAATACTGAAGTAGCAACAATTTGAAAATAATTCAATGTCCGGGTTCCATATAAGTCTAAGCTACTTTCAACCGTAGGACGTCCTGTACATTTAAACGATTAATAAAACCTTGTCTATAGCTCATCTCAACAATCAATTTTGTATAATCCTTTAAATGTGATTTAGTTCAGGTATAAATATATACTTGAACCGCAACGTCTAATCACAAATGAAATTTGAAAATCGCCCTACGTGACTAAAGTATCAAAGGTTAAAATAAGAAGTTGTTCAAAAGGTTCTGGCAATACCGTTATTGTAACAAAGAGGAAAAAGCCTAATAAAAATTTAGTTTAATTGAGTTGGAGACACTGACTTTAACTTCAGGGCAAGCATAACTTTGTTCAAGTTTAATTTTTCGTGCGTCTTGTTACATTTGTCTAAAAATGTATTATTGTAGCAGAAGTATTTGAGTAGTAATTCTTGTTCTCTATTTTTGAACCAATAATTTTTGTCATGATAAGTAAGTAGGGAAGCAAAAAGTGAAGTTTCTAACTTCAAGTTCGTAAGTAGCCCTTTTGCCCTGCTGATGAATTTTGCAATTTAAATTTAAGTTTACAGCTGCTCTGCAGAATCTGATTAATTCTTCAGATTTTTGGTTTGGTATCCCATTAATATTTAAAAAAAAAGAAAATAAAATTGCCCATAAGATAAAAATGTATGAGAAATTAATCTTGATCACAATTATAGTTGGGAATCTAAAGCCGTGTGTATAGGTATTTGCCTTATTTGGATGTCTCCAATCCTTGGTTCATATTTTAATAAATACTGTTTTAACTAAACTTTGTTCATCATTATTGTTATTTTATAAGTTTTGTGATGTCTACCTATTTTTTATAGACGGTGATAAAAAAAAGCATTGAGCACAGCTGTGATAGATACGCTGTGCTTTTAGTTGTGGCACGAATGTTAGAACAGGTGATATTGAAACACTTCTCATATTTTGTGTAGGCTCTGCTCCATTGTCAGGATAGCCGACTGCATCAATGCTGTATCAATCAACTGAAAAACATCTGGCTTTTGCAAGACTGCGGGACAGAACAAAACCGGAAGAAGCACTACCAGATGTGCACTGCAGAACTGCCAAATAGGAAGAATAGGATAATATGTACTATTAACGTAGCGTTACCATTATTAGGGAGTGGTTGGGCCCCTTAATTGCAACACGCTTTACGTTATCCGTTATTCTGAGCATGCGCAATAGTAAAGAAATAACCGTTTACGGTATTAGAGGATAACGTATTCCTTTATTTACGTCCCAGATCACGTTAAAAAGCAGAACGACGGTGTTGACATTTTTGACTTATTTCTAATATTATTAATAAAATAAGCGGCTAGAATACAATAAGAAATCTATTGTAAATCTGTATAAGACTTTTTCATTGATTAATTTACGCCATTATTGCGTAATTACGGATTTTATGTGAAAATTGTTTAGGCAAATTTGAACTTTGGCAACACTACTAACATCGCCTATCGCTACTACCCATAACCTAATTATTTGATTTTGAATTTTTATTTAATATGTTTTGAATATGTTTCTTCTGAAATCTAAAATTGATAAGGCAATCTCTGGGCTCTATATTTCTAAATTAAAAATAGCAACGAAGAAACGCGGTATCAAAAACTAAAAAACGCACTTAACGTTATTTACCCGAACACCTTATTTTTTCAACACTGCGCATGATTAGAATAACGTTTAGCGTTTAAGGCCAACGTAATTTTAAGGGGCCTAAAAATTCTCCATTTAGTTCACTAGAAGGTGGTGCTATTTTTAAAGGTGTTGTGTGTTTTATTTCCGAACTTTGAAATATCTAATTAAAAAAGTATAGGAGATTAAAGGCTTAAATATAATGGCCCTTTTTTGGGTTCTAGCAATATTAGCTGTGTTCGTGCTAACGATTCAGAACTGGTTCGGACCTGATCGCATGCGCGTAGAGGCATTCGGGAAGAGATCGCATGCGCGTAGAGGCATTCGGGAAGAGATCACATGCGCGTAGAGGCATTGGGTGTTTGCGGTAACAAAATGGTTCAGAACTCGTTCGTTACCCGTTCTAGCAGTTCTAGGATAGGAAGGACCAGTGGTTCTGACAATCATATTTTTTTTGATTTGTTAGAAGAGACTGGAAAATTTTGTTTGCGGGCTACTTTCAGTCGGCTGGTGGTGCAATGGGTGCACACAACAAATGTAGGAAATTCCAAGCTTATTTTTACAATGGCGTTCTACTCAAAATTAGTTAATTAAATGCAATATAAATTTCAATATATACTCGGAAAACGTATTTGGAAAAGCGTTGGAGGAGGCAACAGAGGGTATACAGATAAACGGAGAATAGATTAACAATGTGCGATATGCTGATGATACAGTCATACTAGCCAACAACATAGACGAATTGCAGCGCGTCATGGAAAGAATACAGAAAGTGAATGCAGACCACGGTCTTAGCCTAAATATATCAAAAACAAAGTGGACGGTGGTGAGCGAAGATCAGACACACAATGAGCGCATTACACTAAACGACCAGACGATCGAACATGTGGTCATACAAGTACCTTGGTACGCTGATAAATGCAAAATGGGACCAGGCCATCGAAATCCGATCAAGGATTGAAAGAGCTCGAGCATCGTTTCAACAACATGAAGGGTGTATTCACAAGCAAGGATCTATCCCTGTCTCTAAAAATAAGGTTGGCAAAGTGCTATGTGTTCCCAATTCTGCTCTACGGAGCAGAAGCATGGACAACGACGGAAGCCATAATGAAAAAATTAAACGCCTTTGAAATGTGGATATACCGCCGTATCCTTAGAATTTCGTGGACTGACCACATAACTAATAAAGAGATGCTGCAGCGAATTGGGAAAGAGAGAGAAATTACACTCACAGTTAAAAAGAGGAAAATAGAATACCTCGGACACATAATGAGACATCAAAAATATCGTCTACTCCAGTTAATAGCTCAAGGAAGGATCAACATTAAAAGAGGACCAGAAAGGAGAAGACACTCATGGCTGCAAAATCTACGCCAGTGGTTTGAACTTACATCTATACAGCTATTTAGAAATGCCTTCAATAAAATTAAAATTGCCATGTTGATAGCCAACGTCCGCGACGGATAAGGCACGCTAAGAAGAAGATTAACATAATCAAAATTAATAATTCTGTCTTGTTCGAATTAATAAAAAACTGCCACTTTTCGCCACAGATCATAAGGAAAAAATCAAATCCGATTTTTAAAGTTCTCACAAATTTCACCAGCGGCCTGACAAAGTCAAAACGCCGTCGCCTTTTAAAAAAACTAAAACTAAACTTGCACCTAAAGCAACAATTTTTTTATTTTTCTGTTTTCAACTATCGCTCCATTGGTTAAGCTTAAGGTCAAGCATTGAAGGTGATTTACTTCGATCGATGAGTTTCACGATTTGATAAGTGACTGCCAGAGAAAAATGAAGAAAAAATTTTTTAATTGTATAATAATTTATAAATCACTATTAAGTTTAAGAATTATTAAGTTTTTTTAAATGTTTATATCGCACTTAAATAACTTTTTGATCAGAACGCCAATATAAAAATAAACTTGGAATTGCCCACATATGTTTGCAATTTTTCGCCTCAGGCTGAATGGAAACAAAGCCACAGGATGCAGACCAAAGGTGCAGGTTCCAAAAAAATGCAGATTAAATAGAGCAGATGTAAGATCTTGCGTGTGTACAGTGGCATTTTTAAAATTAATTAATTAAATGCGATAAAAAACCTCAATAATTCTTTTCTATCCAAAATAATCAAAAACTGCCACTTTTCGCCGAGAAACCATGATCATAAAAAAACACAGCAATTCCGTTTATCCACTTGCACTTCATTGCATTTCAGTTTAGGAAAATTACTGTTACGCACAAAGTAACTAAAATCCTGTTGGTTCTACTAAAAGGTGGTTCTAAAAACGTTCGCGGAACGGAGGAATCAAGGATCGGTTCTGTTAGCCTGCGCCCTAATTTGGTTTGTTATCGGTTGTGAACCGCTACCGCGAATAAAGGTATTTTCTTCTAATCAACTAGCAAACTTTTGCAAAGTGGGTCAGACAGAACAGATTATAGGCTTTAGAATATAGGAATGTACCATTATTTTAATTACGATTAACTTTACAGAAGAATTATATTCTTATCATTCCTGGGACTAAGTCAAAGTGTGAAGTAAAAATTTTGAATATCGTTTATTTCATTACGTTTCGGCGAGACAACAGCGCCATCATCAGATTTAAAATTTACACAAACTCATGATTGGTAAAAATCAACGTTCTTTTAGGTCTTTGCCTTCTTGAAACCTCAAATTTGTCTAAATTCTAAATCTAAAAAAAAAAGACAAATTTAAGGTTTCAAGAAGGCAAAGACCTAAAAGAACGTTGATTTTTACCAATCATGAGTTTGTGTAAATTTTAAATCTGATGATGGCGTTGTTGTCTCGCCGAAACGTAATGAAATAAACGATATTCAAAATTTTTACTTCACACTTTGAGTGAGTCCCAGTAAAGATAAGAATATAATAACAAGYACACGCAGTCAGGAAAATAAATCAGGATTTACAGAAGAAATGAGTTTGCTGTGCTAAATGCGTTTGCTATTACGAGCTATATTCTCACAGGAATTGTTCTTTTGTCTCACAGACGAGAATACACAACTGAAGTAACCCCTTTTATCAAATGCAAAAATGAAATATAAAGCACGCAAATGAATTGCAAATAAAGACACATACAAAGAGGTAAACAATGACTTGAAGCAAATATACCAAAACTCCTGCTGTTTTACCTGCGCAGCTAAACATTAATTTTATAAACAAAGAATAATCATGGACAAGAGTAGTAAATAGTTTAGTCAAGCGCTAATTTCGACTCTGCATATCTAAAGTGGAAGTTAGCTTGGAATTTGGCCTGTAATAAGAATTGTGCGCCCGTAAACCCAAACAATGCCTTTCGAATGCTTACCTCAGAAGCAGACATTTTTACAGCTGATATCCATAAACATACTGAATAACATGGACACTTTCCTACTCAAATTAATTTTTACTGCACTGATTTGTCAATTTAGAGTTCACAGGACAAAAATGTTGCTTCCCATTGAGCTAAAATTAGGCATTTTAGCCAAAACGCAATTTCACATTCTCCATCAGCTGACAAGGAAGTGTTTTGCTAAATTAAACCAAATCTCAAAAATCAAGGGCAAACTTTAGCTGGGAAACAAACCTGATTGCTCAACAGCGCCCTCTAGTTACCAGTTCCACCGGCCACTTGCCACACAGAACACCTCTGCACTTGCGACAAGTTTCATGTTCTAGTTTAGGTGTTTAGCAAAGGTGGCTCTGACATCGTTAAGCTTTTTAAGCAGTGTTGTCGCGCTTTATACAGGGTGAGTCTTTCTCGATGACTAGTACAGGGATCTTCGGAACTAGAGCAGTTACGAAGGTCAAATGGACAAAGAATAGGGTGTTTTCATTGTATCAAAAATTCCTACAAACTGAACATTAATCTATGGTAATATCCATATATTAAAGATTAAATAAGTTTATGCTATCTATCTATTGCTATTTTGTTAAATACTTAATGAACAAATTCTGCTAAAATTCAAATTATTCGTGAATCTCTAAAACGCAATTATATTGGTTGTGACGTCTCTGGTCATATAAATTGCGGATTGTTTACGTTCTGTACATAGTGTTTAGTTGTGTGATTGTGTTTCATTAATTATTTTGTGAATTTAAATAATTTATAGTTTGTATTAATCTAAAAAATGGTTTCAGAAGGATTCCTTAACGTGTCAACAAGCAATTTACCATGTGTACATATTTTTATGGTTAACGAATTTTTAAAGAACGACGAACGCTTTAATTCAGTCCAATTTAAGGGTGTCAAATCAGCAGCGTAAGTAAAAATTCGTAAATTCAGTATTAGTTAATCTGGCATATTCTGCCTGCCTCATCATTAGCTTTTTGTCCGTACTTTCATTAAAATGATCCTCGCAACAAAGAAACATTGATTTTGATTTAGGAACATCACGTCTAGCTGCTTTGAACCATAAAACTTTACGTGCATAATCATGGGGAACGGTTAAAAAGAGTTTATTTGGAGCACTTATTGAGGTATTCTTGCCTCCTGGCACAAAACACCACTTATTTTGTGATTCATACATGTCACTATTTTCCATTATGCAAGATAATAATCCTAATCAATTAAATAATGATCAGCACCATATCTTAAATAATAAAACAAAGCTGCGAAAACAACAAAATAAACACGAGACACTTTGTTGATATGACCTGCTACGTCACAATCTATATAATACGGGATAGGCAACCGACGATACGGATTCGGCGTTTTTGCCGGAAAATATGTGATTCGAATTTAAATTCGCTTTACATTTATTATGGAGACTTTTTCGTAAAAAAATTATATCAGTGTAATGTTTGCCATAACTACTTTCTATATATCAACATTAAAAAAAGTGGAAACACCCTACTGTACTTTTGAATGCTTTACTCGAAACCAATTTAATTTTTCTAAAATTTGACAGCTGTCAAGAGATATTTTCGAAAAACATATGGAAATTTTTTAAATCACTCTTAGTTCCTTTGATATCAATTTGACAGAAAACGTTAAATAGAAAACTTGTAGGAAATTGAACTCCAAACAAAATGGCATCAGACACATCAGACTCCAACATAACTGTCATTTTTGACATATGACACAAATTTGAGAGTTTTTAAATGGTAACCATCCTTGATTATTGCTTTACCAAGTAGAGCATTTTATTATTAGAGAGGCCCCAAACAAGGATCACATGATGGACGGTGAGATCACTGGCAGATGCCATGAAAACACAACCTCACTTTCCTTATTCCATATCCATAAGTGAATGTTATCGTTTACTCAGTTAATATTTTCACGTATCTGAACTGTTAATCATTGAATCAGAGGTGTTCTGTGGCCTCGTCTCAGCGAACGGTGAGTCCTAATCTCTTGCATTTGCAAGCGCCGTGAATTCGACTATAGTTTGCAAAGCAGCCACTGCAATAAGAGATAAATAGTAGCGTTCTAGAATTGTATATGGGAATTTCCAATCTATACCTCTGTGATCTGTGTGTGGCCTCTTCTTCTCCGAGCGGTTCGGTGTACGAAAGTTCTTAACAGCAGCTAATAATTTCTCCTGTTTTTTTATATTATTTAACGTTTTTAAAATATGGATCGTGACCTGGATTTATTATATAGTGTTAATAGAGATCAGTCGGACTTGGAATTCGATTTGAACATACCACGTAGGTACGTAAAAAGCATAAGCACGCATGATATGCAATGCAAATAATGATTGTCTTCAGGTATATTCGAGATATGGACAATCCCTTAGAGAAATTTACTGAAGCCGATTTTAGAAAACGCTTTCGTTTCTCTAAGGAAATTGTCCAAAATGTTTTGTTGCCATTAGTCGGACACCAGCGGGAACAAATCACAAATCGAGGCCTTCCGGTTCCTTTGATTATAGGTTTACTGCTAACCCTGCAATTTTACGGTAGTGGTAGTTTACGGGTGCGTAATTCATTGACGAATAAAAGACGCTACTTCATACCTAAAAAATACGGTATGATTTCAAAAATATTTTTAGATAATATGTGGGGAGTTGAAAGGATTCCACCAGTCCACAGTGAGCCGTGTAATAACTAAAGTCACGCGAAGCATCTATGAACAAAGCCGAAATTATATAAAATTTCCAGAGAACTTGAATACAGTCCAAACACAATTCCAAACAATTCGAAACTTTCCAAACGTTATTGGGTGTATTGGTTGCGCGCAAATTCCCATTATGAGTCCAGGAGGGCCAAATGCTGAGCTTTTTCGAAATGGAAAACGATCATTTTCACTCAACGTACAGATAGTCGCTGGACCCGATTTGGAAATTTATGACATCGTTGCCACAAATCCAGGAAGCTATCGTAATGATCATGTTTTTAACAAAAGCGCTGTTAAAACGCGGTTCGAAAAAAAACAGCTTCCAGGGTACTTGCTAGGTGATTCTGGGTATCCATCTCTAACATACCTCCTGACCCCATTTCGAGATCCATGCACCAACGAAGAAAAGCGATATAACGAAGCTCATGCTCAGATAAGGAATATTGTGGACCGGACGTTTGGAGTTTTAAGGCACAGATTTTCTTGCTTGCGACGATTGCTCAGACACAAACATGAAACAATTTGTTGTATAATTGTTGCCTGTGCAGTACTTCACAATATCTCAATTGCACATCGGGAGGTAGTTGAACCAGACGGTGAAGATGGTGTCGAAGACTTAGCAGCAGCTGCATCAGATGCTACAACTGACAGTCAGTCAGGCCAGTTAGTGAGAGCTACTATATTACGCAATCACTTCAGTCAATTATAAAAGCCAGTCTCTTTGTCGTTCACAAATACAAAAAATAAAAAAATATAAGTGTGTAATTAAATCAAGTTATACATATGTATAGCGCGATTTTTCTGTATGTATACTTCTATCTACTAGTAGATTTTTTCTTCATTTCATAACAATTTCAAGCATGTATGTCTTAGAGATTAACGAGACCGCACTAGCGTTATAAATTTTTTACTGTTATTGTGGAACGGATAGTGTTATTTATAACGCAAATATATTTTTGTCGTATTTTTTTAGATAAGGTCTCATTTGCGCGATTATCAGTGCGATCTTTGCAAGCAAAGATGCTTAAAGTCCCTAGTTTCTAATTTAAAATATCACATGGAACGAACAAATCAAATTATAAACTTAATGACGCAGTTAACAAATATTAACAGATAATCTGACGATGAATCTGAGCTCAACCACATCACAAGCTACATATTCTGAACTGTCGGTTTCGTCCACGTCTGTTAGTTTTAGAGAACTGGGTTCTAGGCACCGCATCTGAAAAAAAATATTCTTAAATGCTAAAACATTTTTGCATGTAAAACCTTTATTTTATGTTATCCATAGTATCATCATCCAATAGTATTTTGCTCTCTAACTAGTTACCTCTCCCATGCTCAATTTTTGTTTTTTTTTTCAAAAATTTGTTATTTTTAGCTGTGATGACGAATGTTAAGAATATTTATAGCAGCTACTTTATTGTTGAAGCCCCATTTTACCACTTAATCGCCCTTTTACTCATTTTGCTGAAGTTTGTTAAACTTCAGTTCTTCCTGCAGCATTTGAAATCTAGCAGCCTCTTTTCTGAAATGTGCTTCCTCCATTCGAATCTGATGAAGTTCGGACATTTGCTGCTCCTCTTTTTCGATCAATAGCAGCCGGGCCTCTGCTAGCTCTGCTACATAATCTTTTTTTGGAGCATTCCTTGTCGCTGCCATTTTCGCTAAATGTATAAAATAATAAAAATTACTTTTTAATTTTACTTAATGAAATTATTTACCTGATCTTTTTATTCCTCGTCGATTCGTTGGAGTAATTTTCATTTGAGATCTGCAATGAAAATCTTCATTGTTCGAACTTGTACTCGGTTCTTCCAATTTAATCTGGTCCTGGAGATCTTAAATTACAATAATATTTAATGAACTTGTATAAAATCAAATACAGTAGTACTGCGACGACTATTCTTGGGTTCTTTTTACTTAAATTAAAAAATATAAATCACATCAATTTGATCCCAATAAATCGACACTCATATTTACTTCATAAGAGAAAATTTACCTCGCATTTCCTCTATATCTATTTCATCCGACTCGTCTTTCACATCTACCTCATAAGATATCTGAGAATTGAAGCCGTCAATCATCGGTTCGGGAAGAGGGCCAATCATCGGTTGAGGAAGAGGGTCGATCATCGGTTGGGGAAGAGGGTCAATTATCGGTTGGGGAAGAGGGTCAATCATCGGTTGAGGAAGAGATGGAGTTCTTGGAGGACCACCATTCGTGGCCGTTATCTCATCCCGTCTCTCCTCAGCGAGTTCAGCCTTACGAGATCTCTTCGTTTTATCCCACAACCTCTTCAGTTGGGTAGTTGTTCTCTGCCATTACAAATTATGCATACAAATAATTTGTTAGATGTACACTTTCAAGCAAACAGTGAATCAGTAACAAACATGTACACTTATAATATATCAAAAAATGATGCTACATAACATACCGGCTTAGTGGATGATTTATTAAATTCTGAGGTAATGTCTTCCCATGCTTTTCTTTTTTTCTCAATGCGAAAAGTATCGGTCCTCTTGTCCTCAACTATTGGATACTTCCCAAGCACTTGCGCAAATAATTCTTTGTCGGCGTAAGTATATTTGATAGCCATTTTAAAACCGACTTCACAGGTTCAAATAGATTCTACACTCAATAAATCTCAAACTGAAAAGTAAGTAACGTGCCCAGTGTTGCCAAGGTTTTGGTAAAGAACGTCACAAGTAATAGTCTCCTTAGCCTGGTCACAAACGTTCGTCATAGATAAAGACGAGTCAAGGCTGGTCTGGTTTCTATCCTTTGGCTGAAGTGCCATAAAGAGTTTTAAGCTTTAGGTAGGAGGATTACAATTTGGGACTTCTAAAGTCCAAACGCCGACGGGCGGCTAAATTATAACTAATAACTATACGTAACTAGTAACTTTTTTCAATTATTTTGTTCACATGTGTTACTGATTTGTTTTGTATTGTTTAGTTCTAATCAGGTTTAAGTCTTTAAACAAATAGAAACATAATCAAAAGTGTGTAAATATTGTTTCATGTTATACACTTGAAAACTAAGGTTAAAATATGGGACGTCAGAAAGGTAACTACCAATAGTTTACAATGGAAAGGAATGTTTACGTTCCGCAGCGCCCCCATCGGCAGTTGAACACGCGAATAGGTATGATGACCAAATAATAAATTAAAAAAAGAAGAATATGTTTTGAAAGGAGTCTAAAAACTGACCCATTATTTATAAATGTTGGAATAAATAAGTTCAATATAGTAATAAAAGTATAACATACAGCAATCGGCCTTGTTGATTGATAATCCAAGCTGAGCCGAGACCTCCAAAGACAGGCAAACAAGGATCACGTGATTGACGGTGACATCACTGGCAGAGGCCGTGGAAACACAACCTAAATTTCCTTATTCATATAATGAACGCATAGTTCATACTGTTAAGTTAATGTTTTCATTTACTCGGTTAATATTGTCACGTATCTGAACTGATCATTGAATCAGAGTTGTTCTGTGGCCTCGTCTCAGCGAACGGTGAGTCGTATTCTCTTGTATTTGCAAGTGCAGTGAATTCGACTATAGTTTGCAAAGCAGCCACTGCAATAAGAGACAAATAGTAGCCTTCTAGAGTTGTATTAGGGAATTTCCAATCTATCTCATCTAGTTCAAGCTGTTAAGTGAAGTGTTTTCACCCATTCGGTTAATATATTCACGTATTTGAATATTTTATTAGGCTAAAAACAGGTTTTCGTGGCCCAGTATTATTTTAAGTGCTGTTTCTAATGACAAGTTTCGTGTTTGCCTTCAAATACGCGCTGTTAGTGTGACGTGAAACACGTAAAAACAATACAATATTAGAGTATTATTTAAATATGTTTACAAACACAACACTTTTCACAGTATTAAAATGATGAAGTGTTGGACTCCAGACGRCAAACATTATAATATGGGGRAAAAATGTAAATTTTTMATTTCCAAAGGAAATTAAGAAAATAACTAAATGGATACGGTTACTGAGATAATATCAGARACAAGTACTAAGGTAGTAAGACTTGTATCTGGTAATATTTATCTTTTTATGCAGCGGGTGAACATTCTAACTGAATATACATAGTTATATATATAATTTTTGATTATGTATCTCTTACTTTTTGCCCGAAAATATAATCCTATCACTAAATATTCTTGACGTTCTAAAGATAACCTTAAAATGATAAAGTTAAATCGATATATTTTAGAGTTCCTGAGCTGAAGATCGTACTTCAACTACTTGACATGTTTCAAACCATATACCACACCAATAAATTGCCATTACGCATGTATCAAGCACTTTAAAAGTACACAAAACCGGAAAATCAAAAAATACCAATGGAAAATGTACAATGTTTTGTTTAAAGAACCTGACTTATCGCAACACAGCTCATGTCAGTCATGGCATCACTAATGGCGCGTTTACCAGCAACGGAAGTACCATAACCTTACTTTGAAAGTTTTTTACTTCTGTTTTCTGTTATTACTACTGAAGACTTTGGTAATCTGTAATTTACTGATTTGTTTTTATAGTATTGGCATTGACTAATTACTCTTTGGTAAGTATTGGTGCATTTACTTATTTCAAAAATGTATATACCAGAGACAAGTCTCAACTTGTCTCTGTATATACAATCATTGTGCCACCGCTTGTCATTGTATGGCTATCCAAAACGGGATTGTTCTGTTTCCAACGATTTTGCCATTGAAGAGTGGAAATAAGAAAGGGGGCAAATGCCAAAGTGGATGGTTTAACATAATTAGAAAAGTGTGCAAGCAAACAAGTTAGGCATTTGGCGGTGCTAAATCTTAGCTTAGCATGAGAATTGGCGCATAGCGCTTACGTAGAGGCATAAAGACTTGCCCCCTTTGTTACTTTCACTCTTTGATTATAAAAACTTCATCGATTTTGTATGCCATTGTGTCGAGCTTGATAATGGTCTTCAAATATTTACATTCAGATTTCCACTTGAAAATGTGGTTTTCCTGCAGTTACCAAAAGACACGTTCACATATATTACTACTAGGCCTAGAAGTTTCTCAATTCGCGAGTTCAACTACCGATGGTGGCGCTGCAAAACGTCAAATTACTCGTTGTCGAGTGACAGTTAAGACTTGTCACACTTGTTTATTTATTGGAGTTGATGACATTTATAACATAAAACAATATTTTCACACTTTTCGATCTGTTTCTATTTCTGCAAAAGCTAGCAAAATATGGTTAGAACAAAACAAATCACAATCAGATGTAAACACCAATGTTAACAAAACAAGTGTCAAATTAACTGGACTTTTGAACTCACGAATAGGCAAATATGTTTATTGTTATAAGAAATTGACAAAAAATAACACACAGCAATAAATAACAATGCTTGTATAGCGGGTTTGGGACTGGATTAAAAACTTCTTTTATACTCAAAAAATGGCCAGCGTTCCGACCCTTTATTCGGGTCTTTCTCAAGGCTATACAGTCAGATGAAACCGAAATAAATATAAAATATCAGAGCTCTATGCAGTTAACCAATTATTTGTTGATATAATTAAAATATTTCGAAGTATGTTGGTTTATAAGCGTTATTATTATTGAGCACTTGATGTTGCAAGGACAGCCAATCACAGCAGCCTATTCTGTAACGCTGAGGGAAGTACAATACGCTATCCGGTGCGTGTGGAACAGTGGTGGGGATGCGCAGCGCAATCTTCGCCCCCCCAGTTCTGGTTTGACGCACTAATCTCATCCTTTCTGTTGAATTGATCTGATTGTTTGAAGATCTCAATGGGTTCCTTCTTATTCATGAAAAGGCCTAATGTATTTGATCCAAAACATATGCTTCTTTGAGAGAACTTAGTGGCCTTACATGAGTGCGCGCTCCGTAACAGGAGATTTTGAAATCGGTCCCAATTGCAGCTTTTCTTGTGTTCCGTAATCCTGTTGTTGACTTTCCGTTTGGTTGAATTAATGTAGTCTGAACCGTAGTTGCATGTTATCTTGTAGACCACATTCTTCTCGATTTCAAGAAGGCTTTTTAACATTCTTCCAATCTTGTCACTTGGTGTATGTTCGGAAGGCAAACAAAGCCCCGATTCTCAACGGTTTTATTGTGTGATGCATCATCACGCCGATCGAGATTCCTTAACAACTTATTTTTTCAGAATTGGTTTTGGTGTTTATAGAAGTTAAGCCTCAAAATGGCAGATAATGAGGAGTTGCAAATCGATGAACAGGATGAAAACACTACAACTGTCAACTTTAAACCATCCTTTGTATTAATAGCCATAGATACTCATTCATCAATGTTCCACACAAAGAAAAATGATGATGATGATGATGATGAAACTCATGCATTTAAAGATGCTCTAAAAGCTTGTTATGAAATTGCCGACTCTTTAGTTTTATCCACAAGTCGAAGCAATTACAATCAGTTTGGAATTGTATTGGGTAAGCTACTATCGTCTTAGCATAATAAACTCCTGTTTGTGGCATAACCGTCATATATATTTTAAGCTGATGAAGACCAAAAGGCAAGCTTCATAGACGTGCAGAACAACCTGATAGACTCCATAAAATTTTTAAAGGATAAGTGTTCACAGTCGAATGAACAATTAAAAGCGAATTACGAAAGATATGCTGACTTAGACTTGGCAGGTTTTTTTCTGCTTTGCAAGAAAAAATTTAGGGAAATTAGTTCAGCTTATTATAAACGAACTCTTATTTACATTACTAATGATGATAATCCAACCAAGGAAGATAAGCAAAAAAAGTTTACAGCTTTATCCCAAGCCAAATCATTTGAACCTAATGATATAAATTTCAAACTTGTCACTATGAATAAGAATTTTGAAATCAGCAAATTCTATAATGAGTTATTTTATTTGTCATCTAAAGGACCAATAACTGAAGAACTTTGTTTAAACAAAAATGCATTAGTTGAAGCACTTTCTTCAAAAATTATTTTGGCTTATACAAAGCATAAGTTTAATTTCTATCCTTTCAAAGGGGATAGAACTAGATTTTTAAAAGTTATGAGGGTTAATTTTATTCGAGAAGCAAAATTATCTAATATTCACAAAGCATCTCATGATGGGAAACAATTAGTGAAGGTTAAAGAGAATGCAAGCGCCCAAGAACCCGTGCGTTTTAGATTGCAGCTAAATAATGAAAAAATTATTGAACTGGATTCAAAAGATAAATATTCTATAATTGCCAATAATTTACCGCTCGGATTCCATCTTCAATATGTATCAGATAGGCATAGTAACTTTGGAATAGTTATAGATCAAGTGAGTCTGTTATTACTTGATCCAAAGGAAGAACTGGATCAGCACTTTAATCAATTTTGGCTATATTGCATTGAGAAGAATAAGGTATAGCAAAGAATGGCATCCATATTTTGTTGTTTTATATTCACGTTTATTTTGTAGGTATTGGTTTGCTTAAAAAAATATAGACATCCTTCGGAAATTAGATATGTAGAACTAATACCTAAGTATGCCAACAAACAAAGACTTTTCCTCATTAAAGATATTCCATTCTGTGAAGAGTACCACGTACCCAGAGCCGTGCATATCGAAAAAGCTTTGTCAAGTAACATCAGGGAAACGCAAAAGCAAGCAATTAGAGATTTAATAGAAAAATTAAGTTTTGACTATGAACCAACAATATTTATAAACCCAAGTTATGCAAAAAAGAAGGCTTATGTAAAAGCGAAACTATTAGAGCTGCCCGAAGAAATCGTTGAAGACACTACATCAAACGCTGACCAAATAGATGAACAAATCACAGAAATTGTAGTGGATTTTCAAAACCTATTTAATGTTAGTTTCGCTGTCCAAGGTCAGAAGAGAAAATTGCCTACATCAAGAATCACAAAACGGCAAAAGTAAATACAATAGTATAATGAAAACGTTATCTACTTGTTTTACGTTACATTGTCCTAATATTTAAAGTTTTTTTGATTAAATATATATGCTTTAATTTTGTTTTGTTGATTGTCTTAAAAGTTCTTATTCAGAAATCAAATTTCACTAAATTGATAATGATCCTAGTAGCGCCAAATGATATGTATAATACGTAAAAATGATGCTGCAAGATTTGAAAGATGTGTATAGTATCTTTTTATATGTATTTTTAACTCTTAAGCTCCTTTAGATGTTACAAAGATGTAGAGTTTAATACTTTATTCTTAAAGGTTTGATAGTTATGTACAAAAGTATCTTCAGTTATTCCAATGTCTATATGGTTATTTCCCAAGTCTTATAGTTATTTAAATTTTATTGTAGGTGCAAAATTTTACATATTCTTCATTCTTCGGATAAGGCTGTACTTAGTAGTGATTAAGCAGCCTAACCGCTTTTAAAAAGTGGTACGCGTAAAGTAGAAAATGTCTGAAAATATGCAGTTGGTACATTTGTGAGCTTTATTTGGGTTATTAAAAGCTCTTGTTTTATTATTATTGCATGTTGTTTGATCCTCTCTAATCACTCTTAATAATTAATTTTCCGAAACAAGTTAATAAATCTATCATCAGAACCATGCCTCATCATTTGGGTTAACTCTGCACAACACAATTGTTTTAGTTGGCCGAAAACGAAATAATTCAAATTCGTGCTGTAACATATCGGGAATTTACTTCGCCTCAAACATGAAGGTAGTGGTAATTTAGAATATCAGCTCTTGTAAAGTTACATTTATCTTGATATAGTCTAATACAGAATTTGAACCGAAAATTGTTGGAAATCGAACGATGCGATGCTCTTGATGATTGTGGCAATTCGTAGGAAATTACCACATTCACAGTGCAAAAGTCGCATTTCCCATAAAACCAGAATTCGGATTACCAACCGTGTGAACCGTAAAAAATCAGATTCGACTTAGACTTGGTAAGGACTGGTTGTAAGAAGGCATATTAATTTCCAATAAAATTATTTTTTGAGAATCATAGTGGCGCAGTCGGTAGCAGATCAGCCAAAAAAATCCGTCAATATCAATCTTCGAGAACCTCAAAGTTACAGCTCGCCTTCCATCATGTGTTAATCGGAACGTGTAATTTCCTTCGGAACATTTAAACAGTGACAATTTTTATTGATTAAATATTTCCTTTCTTAAACATTGAAAAAGGAAGACTTTCAACCCCGTCACAGAAGACATATGAATATAATCCCATTTTTTCCATATTAAATTGTCCCCATCTCAATTTTCCTGTCTATGTCAATCTCGTCGATTTTATCTCAAAATACAAGATCCACTTATTGTCTAAATCGAGCAACTAAGCATTTTAACTTGTTCGCGAAGTTATCACTACGATATAGTTAAACATGAAGTGCTTAACATCTTAAACAAAAATATATTTCATAAAACCGTTGGCGGACTTCACATTCAAACCTGTTTTAATGTACATCAATCAATAACTAAACTAATTGAGTAAATATACATTATGCGGTGGTGGTGGACATGGACTAAATGGACTAAATGATTGGAAACACATGGACTAAATGATTTGCTATTTATATGGACACAATCCATTCAAAACAACAAAACTTCATGCTTTCAGGAACTCGGGAACACAAAACCTCTGTTATTAACGATTTTATTTAATATGTAATTTAGAATTGGATACATAATATATTTACTAATATATGTTGGATGCTCGATATTTTACTCTACATTAAGGAAATTAGTATCCATACTCATCACTAGGTGTGAAAACAAGAAAATAATAATATACATATACAATACAATATAAACAATTATTTGGAAGTAAAACTTTTCTTCAGTTTAAGAGTTTTGTTGTTGCATTAAAATGTGCCAATAGGAATTATGTGCACACATGTATGTAGATACAGAACAGTACTACGACTGAGTGATTTCTTTCCGTGTTTCAAATGCGATATTGACAATTTTTTCCTTTTTTATATACAGGCTGATTCGAAATTAGCATTACTTTGTTCAGGGGTTATTTTCCTTATTAATGAGGTTGAACAAGTTACTGATGTTTGCTTGGACAATACGAAAAAATCGATTAAAACGAATTTGAGTTGATTTCTCGAAGATTTTAGCTCTTTAATATGCAGTTTTAACTTTCTATTAAAAAATCTGATAAATTATTAATACAGATAAACGCTACAAATAAAACTTGCGATTTTTGTTATTGTGTTGAAAAAATAGCCTGAATGTTAAAATAATAATTAATTTCTTATTTATACAGGACAACGGATCAACGCAGTATTAAAATTTTTAAATTCAACCTGTGATATGAAATCCAAACACTCTTGTAAGTTTTTCGATAAAACGTACTGCAATGAGAGCCCGAGTTTGTAGGTATATTGATATGCATTGATCGCTTTTAAGTCACTATATCATTGCTTTGGGAACTCAATTGAAAACCAAACTTGAAAAATCTGAAAAAGTTTCTTAACTGACAAATTTATAGCTCCATCAGGAAAATGACATCCCTTTTCTCAAGTTTCCTTTGGATTTCACCTGTTACATTTGCGGATTTACGAAAAAAACATTAAATATAACTTTAAATATAACGTATTGTTCCTTAACAAAACACGCCCTGAAAATGAATGTAAATCTAAATGTAATAAAATTTACATATAAATGACTGATACCACGTGCTTAAAAATAAGTAGTTTTAATCTAAACGTTAACTATCTACTTCGTCATGTGATTTCATATGTTGTATATATTCATTTACTTTTGCGAACGCACTATCGCAGATTTTACAGATTATTAATTCCCCCACTTTGTGTTCTGTAGCTATGTGATCATTTAAATTTAATAGAGTTTTAAAACTCTGATCGCACTGAGTGCATTTGAGTGGCAGAGCATTTTTGTGTATTTTTATATGACTGTAGAGACAAGTGGACGAAGCAAAGCTCTTGTTACAATGAGAGCATACATACGGTCGTTCACCGGTGTGTAGTCGCCGATGAGTCAATAATCCACTGGACCCATTAAAACCTGCCAAGGATTGGATACGGTTAATAACAACATAAAATTAATATAATTTAACTAAACAACTAAGATCAAGATATGTGACGTTAAACCCAAACATTTTTATCACTTTGTATTCGCCGGTAGAAATAGAAAATAACTGGTGTGAATAAACGGGGTAAGACTGAAAATAACGAATGTTTATTAAATTTGAATGTGCATCTCGTTTCGGCATAACCTTTTGTTAGTAGTGCATTTTTGTTGAAAACGTCCACAAAAAGTACGCTGGATTAACCTCGTAGAACTAACGCAACAAAGATGGTATGCAGCAAATGCTTTCTGCACTAAATAAGTTAATTTAAATAATAATTCCTGTTCCTGCTCACCTGTTCAGACAAAATTAAAACCTGCTAGATGAGAAGTACTGGTCTTTGACCGTAAAATGAAATACACATTACAAAAAAAATATTTTTGTGGAACCCTCATCCTTTTTGACATTTTTAAATGATACTGATATGATTTCTCGCGTAGAACTTTAAATTTAATCATCACTCTCGTCAACTGTCGTCTGTCAGTAGACTGCTGTCAAATTTTGAACACGCTACGGCATTTAATTCGTGTTTAACAGTCATTGAAAGGAGATGACTTCGTGCATTTCGACGAAAATGGAAAAAAATGAATTTCGAGTGCTGTTCAAGCATTATTTTTGACGTAAAAAAACCATCCCCGAAACGAAGGAAATCCTGACAAATCGTTGTGGCCGACAATACCAGACGATCGGAGAATAAAAGTGCGTGATGTAGCTGAGGCTGTAGGCTTCTCAACTGAGAGCGTATATCCCATTTTACATGAATATTTGGATATGAAAAAGCTATCGGCACGATCGGTACCGCGATTGGTGACACTCGACCATAAGCGCCCCCGTGTGACCATTTCAAATGAATGTTTAGAAATGTTCCGCCGGAATTTTTGCGTCGTTTTGTTGACAAAACGTGGATCTATCACTACACACCATAGACGAAAGAAGAATCAAAACARTGGGGTTTTTTCAGCTGAAAGTGCACCAAAGAAGGCCAAAATGGGTCTGTCAGCCAACAAGGTGATGATTACAGTTTTTGGGATGCACGCAGTGTAATTCACGTCGGTTACGTTGAAAAGGCTAAAACGATCACTATCGCAAATTATTCAGAGCTTTTGGACACGGTAAAAATTCAAGAATTCGGTTCTGAACTGCTACACCGCCCAGCATATTTTCCCGATTTAGCCCCCTGCGACTATATCCTGTTTCCAAACCTGAAGAAATGGCTGGGCGGCAACAGATTTGGCTCCAATGAAGACATCATCATTGAAGCAAATGCCTGTTTTGAGGACCTTGAGAAATTCTACTATTTGGAAGTGATAAAAAAATTAAAAGACGCTGGGCTAATTGTATCCAGTTAAAAGGAGACTATGTTGAGAACTAAAACATTTTTTGGCCGAAAAACATATCTCATTCAAAAAGTGACTGACTTATCAAACTACCTTCGTCTGTCATCTTCACACCATTCGACATTAGGGCTCGGAATTTTTTTAAATCTGAAATTCGAATATTCGTTTAGTGGTTTATTCGAAAATCGTTATCTCATATCATTTTTGGCAACTAGCCGCAATCGATAAAAAAGTGCCTTTGTCGGCACATCAGCGCAAATGTTGATGACGCGAATCACCAGAACACAAAGACGTAATTTTATATTCATTTGCAGGAGAGTAAATATGATTATTTTCATTTGCTTGTAAATATATGGGTATTTGTTTAAATGTTTGTAGAATATGAATCATTTATTTTACAAAAGTACAAAAAGTGCTTATAAAGATATTTGCACCTTGTGAGTTTGATAATGTTGGTGTATTCGAGTATTCGAATATTTCGATACGATTGTTTATCTTACCTACAACAATTGTTTCTTACCTTTTTTGCAAATATCACAAATATGAGTTTTCTCTCCCGTATGGCCTCGCATATGTTTAGTCAGTTCATTGGATTGACAAAAAGCTTTTTGACAAATACAGCACACATAAGGACGTTCGCCTGTATGTATTCGAATATGAGCCGAGAGATTTGAACTTGTAGCAAACGCTTTTGGGCAGAATGAGCACTTATGAGGTCGTTCACCTACAAATAAAATCATACTCATTTAAATATCTAATTCTCAAAAGAAGCAATTTGCTTGCATTAATTAAGTTTATGCCGACTTACTTATACCTTTTAAATTTTGAAGCGCAAAAAGTATCTGTCTGRAGGCGTGGTTGACGTTGTAATTTTTTATTAAAAAAAAGTCTCAAATTTTTCACGTAGCAAATGTGAATGTATTTGTAATGCCAAACCATTTTAATAGTTGAGCAAATTACTACTAAGCTACTTTATTATTATTGCCTAATCGCAAATGAAAAATGCCTTTTCAAGGGCGAGTATATTCGAAAARTAAAATTAAAACATTTTTTTAACGAAAATCCAGTAACCCTTTAAACGGAATGATACCAATTTTGAATTRCCCTGTATTTAATTCGGTGAAGAATGACTGATGGGGGTGCCAAATTAATTTGAAATCCTGTATGCAMTAAAATAGTGAGGGAAAAAATCAATCGTTGTAAAATGGTTAAAAACTGCTCAAAATCAACTGAATATTTATGTATATGACAAAACTAATAATCTCGTGCATCCAATCCATTTTAATTAATATGTTCTGCTTGAACACATGTAGAAGTAAAGCTGAGATTATGATGTTCCAAGTATGGCCCAGCCATTCCTTATAACAAATTGGGCCAATTTTGCAATTCTTTCGCGTGAAAACTAGATGACAAACATCATAAGAATCATATTGATTTAGAGTTATATTATTATGAAAGTATGTATTTTGCATATTGCACTTATATTTACAAGAACTGCATTGAACATTAGTGTATATATCGTGATTTTTAAATTGAGAAAATCCACTATGATGGAGCTGTGCTGATTTAAAATGATAACAAATCAACTATTAAACAAATCCAGTTCCGACAACTGTCATAACTGCATGCATCAATCGTAGAAATAAAATATAAATAAAAAATCGCAATTAATTACTATATCTTCTATGTCGCTTTGAAAAAAAAATAATAACAATCTTTACTTCCTACCTGTATGTGTTCTCAAATGTTTTTCCAAATCTTGACTCTGTCTACAACCCATTGAGCAAATTGGACATGTAAATGGTCGCTCATTATTGTGGATCCTCAAGTGCATTTTGTAATTGCCTGTGTGCCGAAACCTTTTTAAGCATATAGGGCATTGATGCGGTAGGTCAGTGGGTACTAAAATATTTTTTAAATTTACCTTCAATACGTTCGAATATGCGGATGATCAGTATGTTGAGTACTGTAGTATCCGTTATCCAATTTTATTTTCCCAAAATTTTCCAGCTATGAATAGATATAAAAACACTGATTTATGGCAGATTTTTTGAAAACTACTAGATCTTTTAATGTTAATTATTAAATAGAAAAGCTTTAGAAAATTGACACATAAGACATTTTTACAAATTAACTGTAATTTTTGACATATGACGTAAAGTTATATTTTCTTTAATGGAAACCATATTCGATTTTGCCTTTATTAAATAGAACATTCTCCGTGATTTCAGTAACATATCACATCGATAGATTTTTATCTAAAATGAAGTATCTGTGAGTGATTTTTACGTTTTCAATTTAGTTGATCGAATTAGCCATGGAAAATAGTACAAGACATACAGCATTGTTTCCATGGTAACAAATAATTACCACATTTAAATTTTTTGACATTTAAGTTACTTGAATGTCAAAATTTAAGTTAGTTTTATTGTAAAAAATAATTCCAAAGAAAGAAAAGCGCGACATGATTGAAACCTCGAAGATGTCAAAAAAAAATGCTGGACGAGCTTTTGATTACTATTTTGAGAGATATTTTTGTAGATGATACCGAAACAAATGCCAGCAAGACTTGCCTTATAAAATGTTATGGACCGATAAAACTCGATTTACAAATTGTGGTATCTTTGCTATCAAAAATGGGAAAAACACAGGCTTTATTGGTTGGATTCCACCAAACGCCCAAAACCAATATATATGAATAAGTATAAAAATTTAATTTTGAGCAAATATTGCATTACCCTCTCTGCTACACATAACGCTTACTCTAATTTGCTACTAATAGTAGGTACTATCTAATTGAATATGTCCAAAATGTGTAAGTTTGATCTTACATCTAGAATGAATTTTTGTATGTCTGTTTAACTTTGAAGTAGTTGAAAATGTTTTTCCACACACAGTGCAGACTTTGCCTTCTTGTCCTTCTTTATTATTGCTGTCTTTTTCAGAAGTGTCCGTTTCCTTAGTTTCTATCGGATCAGGTTGAATTGGAGGCGGTGGGGTATTTATTTCCATAGGCATAAGTTGTGTGGGTTGAACCTCAAGTTTGGTTTGAAGTGGCTGGTTCGACATTCTATAAGAATTTTCATTATAAACCTAGAAAAAAGCACAAACTGAAAATAATTATTGTTTTATCGAATAATCAGAATTTACCAAATGCTCTGACATAGTATATGTCGGTACTTGAACTTGGCTATTGCTAGACGATAAATTTGCGTAAGGTACTGAATATGAATCGGTACTTGGGTTGACCATCAAAAAATGGTCGTAATTAGGCTCTTCAGGTTTAAAATTTGCCATCATGGAACTGTTGTTAGCTTGAATATATATACTATGTGGTTCCACTTCCAGCTAAAACATTAAAGATATCAGTATGGACGCGGTCTTCCTATTATAAACGACTTCAGCTGCATATTCTTCAACAATATTTCATTTTAATAGCATTATACACTATTTGCAAGGGCATTATTATTATAGAAATTTTCTTAAATCGCCTAAAAACTAAAGCGATCTTATTCTCACTTTAAATGTACTGCTTAAAGTTCAACACTTGCTCTAGAGAAAGTACAAAAACAATAAAACTAGGAAGGTAAACTGCCATAGTTAGTAAAACCAAGATACGTTAATAAAATGTCATAATTTAAAATGAGTTATCGTTACGAAAAAGTACCTTATCAGACACATTATTGTTAGATATTTTGCTTGGTTGACTTTCGTCAACTACCTTCTCTTCTTCCGGTGGCATCGCAGCTTGATACAATCTTAATTTTGTGTCAGAGCTTTCGCATTGCTTCTTCAATTGAAAAGCAATATAAAGCTTGGAAGCACACCTTGAACATATTTGTGCAGGTAATCCATCGTTTGGCCAAACCTAAAAAAAAACACGAATTAAGATAACTTGATTAGCTGACAAAAAGAGATCAAACATAACTAACAAATCTCGCACAATTTCACAATTATACGCACGTTTTTTTACCAATCATATTAAGTGATAAGCAAATGCAACCAAAATTGAAGCAACTTGCAAATAATTATTTCATTTGATACAGAATGAAAATTTGCAATATTCAATTATAGCCCGTCTCTATTTACTTGATTCTAAAAAGCAAAACATTATATTTTGTTTATGAGATACGGCTTACTTGTGCAAATTGTCCGTTGAATTCATTTTTCGCAAAAACAAACCGAAATATCGATATGAAACAACAACAGGAATTTTATGTAGAAATGATTGTTTTCTATTTTGAGCCAAATTTGATGGTACGCGTACAGGGTGAAAATTATTTACCTAAATAACAAGATGCAAGAAGAGTTTAGTGGTCGCCTTGAATATTTTCAAGCTGTAAATGGTACACATTTTTAACAATTAATTTATTTGTTGTTCTATTGCTTGAAATAAATCGGTCGTTTTAAATCGTAAATTTCTCGGTAACTGTTGAGTTTAAGTATAGCACAGGTTACCTGAATCATACTTAGCATTCAATGGAGAATTCAAAAGTGGAATAAAAATCAAGTGCTTCCAATTGAAAAAATAAGTTGGTGGTTGTAACTTATTTTCGGGCCAAGCTGCATAAATAAATTTGATATGAAAACAAAATTTACAAATACAAATTTAGCTATTTGCAAAAACGCTGTTTTCTAAAAAAATCAGTGAGCTGAAATTTAAATTACTTTAGACAGTACTTCTGGGACTCCCTGTATATTTGTTTACGCTGCGCTGGATGTTAATGACAGCAAGGATTAAAGTAAATTCCCCATTAAAGCTAACTTTTCGTTGTCTTTTAAAAGTGAAAAACTTTGTCTTTAATTGAGGTTCCTAGAAATCGTATTTTTAATGTAATTGGTTTGATGACATAAGTTCATTTCAATTTCAGTAGTAGATCCACTAAGTAAACAACGATTATTAGTAAATTGTTTACGACAAGTTTAAACCCGGTAGAGGGTGGACAAAAGCTTACTGAGTCACGTTTGGTGCTCGCAGTGAAAGTTAAATTATTGCGAGTCTATTTATTTAAATATTAGATGTTTCTGTTTTTCACGTTCTTGTTAGATGATTTTTTCTCGATCAACCACGGGACAATTTGCCGGCAGTGAAACCGAAGGACGTATTTTACATTATATTTAATAATAGTTGTTGATCTTTGCCAAAACAAGTTCCTAGTCTTTGCTTTGACAGCTAACGCCCTAATTTTCCATATTAGTATTCGAGCAACATAAATGTAACCTTTTGTACTTAAAGTTATTAGGTTTTCCTGGAACCGTATAATACCATTAATATTTTGATTTTTGGCATATTTTATTTGAGTGATATTAATCACTATAGCTTGCAGATACATGTGGGCATAAAGTGTATACGTTATTTAGTAACTACACAAAAAATACATTAAAACACATCATAATGAATAGAGTTTTGAGTACCTGAACAGAGGCAATAGCCATCATTTTCTTGAACATGCTGACTTTGAATAAAGACATCATAGTTCCTTGATGCAGGCAAATTCGGCATATCTTTTCAAAATCAAGTTCCTCCATCATCAATTTTTGATTACTGTATTCACTAACTTTCATTTCATAAGGTGGCAGTACTCATTTAATAATAAAAACACTTCAATATTGGTTGTTCCCTTCATTAATCTATGCTTGTATATTATTGTCTATCCATATCTGTTTTCCTAACCTAAATTTGAAACGTATTCAATTAATTAAACAAAGTATGTAACTTTGAATATAATACATCTGTTTCGCCAATGTAAATTCAAAGGTGTAAACACATAAATAGAATATTCATCAGAGAGCAAATCTTGTCTGTGTAGTAACATTATCCTATAAAATCCCAGTGAATCAGAGCCAATAACCCAGAGAGAAGAAGATAATATTGACAGTTAATTACTAGTTGACATAAGGTTGAAATCTCAGAGTAAATAGTATCTAGATACTATTTACTCTGAGGTTCAAATCAACTAATTCGCGAGTTCTACTACCGATGGTGGCGCTGCAAAACGTCAAATTATTCGTTGTCGAGTGACAGTTGAGACTTGTCAGACTCGCTTATTTATTGGAGTTGATGCCATTTATAACGTAATACAAAACATTTCGATCTGTTTCTATTTCTTCAAAAGCTTGCAAAAGTCGATTAGAACAAAACAATACAAATCACAATCAGATGTAAACACCAATGTGACACTATTGTCAACAAAACAAGTGTCAAATTACTACTTAACTTGTAGTTATAATTTTAACCACCGGGAGAGTTTGGACTTTAGCTAGATATTTTCCCAATATTAATGATCAAAATCAAAAACATTATAAAAATTAACAAATATTATCTAATCTGACTTACTGATCACGTCGGGGAACCATTCAGTCTCTTTCATAGTATTGTCACTGTAATATACTTTAAAAAAGTCCGATAGAGCAAGATCAGGAGATTATATAGAACCGAGGGTAGCAAACAAATTGTTTTAATTTACCTACCTAGGAACCGAAACAGATACAAAAACGTGGTAATATCGATACATCCAACTTTAAATAATGTATCATTAGTTTGGTCACGTGTTTTCCATAATTATTATTTGCATATTCACGTGATTTTTACGGAAATATATCACAGTGAAATGACGTCCCTACATGGCGTTACAAAACAATCAAATTTTTATTAGCGTCCGTGTTTTTGTGCGCTTCACCATCCGGCCATGAATGTCTTTCTCAATTCATTCATCACCTTTAGTTACGGTTCTAGACAACGTCGGACACGGGAGAAGCTTCGCCATTAAAAGGCTCTTGGAGACGCTCTATTGCTTCACCGACTCAAGAGAAAAAAGATGGTTTTTCTATAATTATTTTTACGAAAATATTTTGGAAGTAATTACAAATGAATAGCTTAACTAAACTTCCCTCGGAGGCAAAAAGAGCCGAACTTCCATGAAATGAGAAAGACATTTAGACATACATGGCCTGATGATGAAGCAAACCTTATGTTTCGATACCACACGATATGAGAGTTGTATTAAATTACTTCTCCGTTGTCAAGTTTATACAATTTCAATTAAAGTACTAAACAGTTTCACAAAGAGATAAAATCTATCTTAAAATAAATAAAATACAACTGCTATCACCAAATTTGTGAACAAATGATTAGATGTGATGCTAACAATTTCTCTCAAAATGTTATCGTCTTGGGTGATGCTACGTTTTACTCACACGGCATTTTTAACAGACACATTAATCGATGATCCACTGACAAACCACACATAAAGGAAATATGTATTATTCTTTGAGGAAAATACCATACTTATGCGTCTTAAAGTAAGAACGTTTATAAATTTGTTATAAGAGGACTGGGTGCAACTTTGTCGTCTGAACCGATAAAGGTCCGAGAGCGCCCGTTTATCGGTTCTTCAATGTAACCAACCGCTAGCGCTTATCGAACGTTTCATATACCCATTTTTCCGACTTATAGAATCGTTTAGGCTATTTGAACTATAAAGATCGTTTCAGAAACAGGTCATTGCGATCTTGTCAAACAACCAATGCACTTTAATACCATATCTCCTCCTCCTTCAGGGAATTGTAGGTGAAATTTCAAATGCTCCAAGGGCTTAAGACCAGTTCCATTCCAGGTTTCGATGTGCAATGCTGGCCCTGCAATGTCTGTAACCCACCCGCTAAACATGAAGCATGACTGAAACGTTTCAAATGTGCAGTTATATTGCACAAATGTAACATATCATGGAAACGTTTCAAAAATGTTCCAGAAACGTCTTTAGCACACATGAGATTCATGGTTCTACCGCTTCCCATCGCGCATGGCATTTATTATTTTATGAAACATAACCACTAACGTCTCTGCGCATTACACATCTATCGCAACAACGCATTATTTGGAAGGTTGTATTATTTCATTTTTTATTATTAGATTACCTGTTGTTGTTTCATTGTTCTCATTTCGAGTTGTTCAGTTCATTTATGTACTAAAAGGCTTATTGATATTATTTAAGGGCAATAAAATGAGCCGAACAAAAAAAAGACAGATTTCTAACAGGCACCTTTGGCGTTTGGTGAACAAGAACGTATATAATAATAAGCTATATAATACTAACAGTTCTGTATATATTGAATATTTTGAATACTCCATCTTAAACTGTACACTGTATAGGGCTGTATTATTATTTTTTAGGTATTACTTTAGGTTGAGGTTGGGGCTGTCGAAAACGATGATTGATTATAAACTGAGTATTTACCCAACTCAAAGAAGACTGGGGTCATTTGCTTATAGATAACTGAGTTTTAGAAATTATTTTTATTTCTTTGTGTTTTTGTTGGTTCTTGATTATTTATTTAATAAAATTTTTATTATATGTATTTATGCCATTTGAGTTTCATTCATCAACTTTTCGAGCCTGTGAATTGTACATTTAAAACATTGTTAAACAAGTTAGCTTAAAATGTTTTGTAAATATTTTTATGAAATCGTTATAGAACCATGAAACTACATAGTGATTCTTTGATGAGTACAAATGTTCCAACTGGTGGTATATTTTTGTCTTCGAAGCACGGCAATCCTATAGTTCTGCTTCTAGGGCCATTATGTACCACCAATTAAAATATTTGCACTCCCTCAAAGATACACCATGTATAATGTTACAAAATATTTATTTGCAACGTTTAAATAACGTCTAGCGCAACGCTTCAGTAACATTTCCACGAGACGTTTCTGCAATGTTTCAGCGAAACGCTTCTGAGGGCGGACATTTGCAGTTACATAAACATTTCTGAAACATATAGTGCAGGTAACTGAAACGTTTCGGGATTTTAATATAGGTTTCTGAAACGAAAAGTTCTTTAGCGGGCATAGGCGTAGAAAGCGTTACGATGAAAAACCGAGGATTTCCGCTGAATCGTCGACTATTTCTTCATGTGATCTTGAAATTATTTGATCCCTACAGCCTCACTCACCCACAATTCTGCAGGATTTTTAGCTACTGCCTATCCTATAAACTATATAGTTTTACTTAGAAAATATCATACAATGACAAACTTCTGTTCAGTCTTTACTTCACGGACTACAAGTTATGTCCACACCAGTTAAGTACAGAAGTAAAAAAAGTAACGAAGAATGCAACAAGTCATAAATTCTTAGTTGTAAAAGTTTCTGTCTGCCTTATCGTGACAGCCTAGAGAATGAGATTTGGGACGTTCTTAAAACTCAAAGCGCTGCTAAATATAGATAACTAATTACGAAAACTGCCGATGAAATTTAGAACGACTTTGTTTAGTATTATCCATCTATCTAGACAATTATTTCAGGGTAGTACCCAATTTTAATAAAGATTCTATCAAATGAAGAGTTTTTCGTGTCTTTTATCACCTAAACTTAATTAGCATTAGTATTTAGCTCAAATCAATAAAAAAAGATTCCTCATATATGCAGAAGCTCTTGAAGTCGATTCAAATCTCGTTTAAACCGACTTAAATGGCTTCCAGATAATTAGCTTAAAGCTAATACAAAAACACTTTTACAGTAATTACTTTAGCTTCTCAGTATCAAGTGTGTAATTGTTGATATGGGAAGTAAAGAGTCATCACATAGTTTAAATTTTTACTCGACAAAGAAGCGACTCACTAGAATTCAGGAAATATTTTACCTTCTAGATTAGGTAAGAGATTTTTCACGGCATCTTATCAGTTTTTGTTGGTATTCTATCGATTTATACAGAGTGATTCTGCTTAGATTTGCGCGGGTTTAGGCAAATGTTAATTTCAATAACGAACAATTCGTAGGCGTATTGATATGCTTCTAAAGATATATTGCAATTTGGTATATATTATTGCCTCTAACTAATACAGTAAATATGAGACACTGCTGAAAAAAAATTGCTGCATAGGTGTCGTCAAAAATACATCATTCTTTAAAGGCTTACAAATCCACAAAAATGTTTCTATACTTAGGTACAATTTTAAGTTTTTAAACAATTCAAAAACGTTCCTCAGTGAAACTTTGTGACATTTGAAAATGGCCTTTGAAAATATGCAGTAATGTTTTCATCTTGTATAAGATCAGTCACCGATGTCGGAGGTAAAGAAAATTCTCACGTTACATAACGAGATAACTACTCCATTTACACTGCAATCCGTAATTCCCAATAAATCGACATTGCTGTCCCATTAATGGAAAGATCGCCACAATTATCTCTCGAACAATTTGCTAATTGAAGGAAAACGGCGCAATTATTCAAAATATGGCCATCCAATTAGCCGATACCTTTTTAAAGTGAAAATATGCAGAATGCGACGATTCGCCGTTAACACAGATACGTTTGTTTAATTGTTCGACTTTTGCAGATAATTGACTAATTCATACATGTTTTTGTTACTCATTTCAACTTGGTTTTAATATGTAAGAAAGCATTCCTACAACATTGATATTTTAAATCTAATATTGTGATTGTCATTTGAAATTAATTGCAAGATCATTTTCTTTCTAAAGTTTAAGATCACATCAAATAAGTACCATTGAATATTTTTGGTGTGTCCTAAAAGGGACCAAACAGTACTTATTTAGGTAAATAGTTGACCACAAATACCACTATTCTTTCTATCGCTACCTATACCTCTGGGTAACTATCTGTCCGCAATATTGTCTCCTTTTGGTAGATACTTTAAATGGTTAAATAGCCCGAAAATTTAAATAGTCGGAATTTGTTACTTGTTTTAGTCTATATCGTATATTTGATTTCCGTTTGGTTAAAAAAAAACAGACCTTATTTTTGTTAGAAATGTGAAACTGGAAAGCTATTGCATACATTAGAACTTCTAATACAATTATGCATTATTTTCTAGTATACATATACATATGAATACTCATTATAGACCCAACACACATTTAAAAAATAAATGCCGATTTAATTTTGAGTATGAAATTATTTCTTATTGTCGAAACAGAACTATTATTTTTTTACATTATGTTTTTACATAAAGTTAATGATAAATTGTTTTGTATTAATTATATTATTGTATTGTTAAGTTGATGTGTAATTGAGATTTTTTAACACGGTGGTTGATGTCAACTTTTACCCACTGGAAAGGATAATAATATTTAGTATAATTTAGATTAGAATTTATTAATTAGAATGTATTATACCCATACGTTTCTATCGCTAGTTATTAAGTGGTAAGAAGAATTTTTCAAATCTGAATTTATTAGAATGGAAAGTGAGTTGGAAAACTTACCAGAGCCTGGGTCCAGATATACCTTAGGTGAAATTATTGGAAATGGAGCCTTTGGAACAGTGTAAGTGTAACTTTACGATATGTAAGAAACCTTTAATTAACAATATCATTTAATTCATTATGCTTTACCTACTCATTTATTCAACAATATATTTTTAGTAATAAATAATAATTTAAAAAAGTAGGTAGTTTTTGTAGTATTAGATGAAGAAAGTTTGATAATAATACGTAGATTCCATACAAAACGCATAATTGACTTAACCATTCATATATTATATATTTAACAGTTATGCAAGTGTTTTTAATATGTATTGCGAATGCGACTTTGCTGACAGATAGATTTGTACGAAGACAAGATTTTATGATAACTCTCAACGGGGGTTGAGAGTTTTTACAAAACAATCGGGTATACTTATAAGTAGAAATGCTTGGACAACCACAAACAAACTTAAACGAGATTTTTTCTAAGCAAAACATAGCCTTTTTTCTACTGTGATCTCACTTTCTCAAGTAAATTCTTGTGGATAGCTCGATATTCCTGAATCCTCTCCCTCAAAGCTTGTCAATAGAGTCAGCTTGGACACTAGGTGCATATGTTACGTGGCCTCGCAAAAGGAAGTCTATTAGAGTGAAATCTGGATATATAGGTGACCATTGGATTGGCATCCTTCTACTAATTTATGGCAAAATCTCTAATCGTTTTGAGTTAAGTTGCTTCCTTGAAAACCTCGAGATCTTGCGCCTTGACTTTACTGGACACTACATAGTCTTTTGAAACATTGCTAAATTCTTATGTCTGAGATGAAGTCTTGGAAGTTTCTTTCGAAATTACTCAATCGAGATTTTTTTCCAAAAAGTTCCATAGTTTCTAAAGAAATGGATGTTGTGTGTCATCGATACTGGAAGGAAAAAAACATAGGATTTAAAGCAATCCTCAGGATTCAGCAGTTACAAGAATTTTTATTACAATGTACACGTATCAAATTTGATGTAAAATTATCATATTCTGCTGTTAATAAAATTACCTATTTAAATTATGTGCAATAAATCGATTCAACTCCTTTGGAAAACCGTCATTACATCGTTAACATGGCCACAGCTACTTCAAACTGTGCTACAGCTACTTCAATATGAGTAAAACGTATAGTGTAAAAAGTTACTCTCAAACTTTTCCAATTTTTGAGGAAATAAATGTCAAATTCCAACATGCAAGAAGAACTTCTCCAACCAAACAAAATTTGGTTAAATGCGATGAAAATATATTGTTTTAAATCTTCATCAAACGCAATGGACGGAGGAAAACCTCGACATTGTGTTCAACTTTCAAACAAGTACCAAGTAAATATACGCATCCTAATCCTGATCTCACCGTTTGGCTTCTGATAATATTATTTGGCGGTAATTATTTCTCTACATACACATAAATATGTCAATTCAATAAATTAAGTGTTGAAGACCGACTACTAGGTATAAATTACTTGTTTAAATGAATCCATTTTTTGTACTGAATACGGTAAATAAAACCATCAAATAGTAACTTTAAAACGTGTTATCTATGGGATTTTAAATATTGCGTTGTACTGAAATCGAAAAAAATCTGTTGCTGAACTTAATAAGATCTAACAACTCTAAACCTGACTGTCACCAGAGTGGAATTCAAACTACGCATTCGCGTTTTTGTTAAATCCTGTGTAGAGCAAACTGCAGCATCTTATTCTCTTTTTTTAAGATATAACGCTATTGATAATCAAACCTCAAATAAAATAAATGTGGCAATAAAAATACAAACTTACAACGAAGAAAATAAACCTTATGTTGATGAAGAATACGCTATTCTCAAAGAATTGAGCAGTTGCATATATTTGGTTACTTTTTATGGAATATTCAAACGAGGTGGTGAAATTTGGATTGTTTTGGAGGTAATAAAAGCGTTCTGTTCTGTATTATTGTTTAACATAATATATGTTGAAGAACTGTAAAGGATGTACGGCATTAGATTTGGTCACTGGACTTTTGAACCAAAATAGAAGAATTTCAGAAGAACACATGGGATATATCCTAAAGGAAGTTGTCAAGGTAAAACATATATTTAATAAGTAAATTTAGGCGCTTGCTCTAAGGGATTATTTTTTAAGGTAATTATAAGCAATTAACAACGAACATTATTTCATGATAAAGATCAACATATGTGAAATGTGTTGATCAGAAGAGCTACTTAAAGGTTTTGGACATTTTCGCATATTAAGTAGTATATTGCAAACATTTTCCAGAATTCGATTATCTTACTCTTGGACACCCTGCCTTCTTGGGTGTGATAACAATGGTCGCTTGCTTATTTTCGGTCCATTTCTTCTTTAGTTAACTTTTTGGGGTATGGGGCAATGTTGGAGAATCTGAACGTTCTATTTGCATCAAAAAAATAAAAAGTCGGAGTTTTCTAGCGGTTGCAATTGTTGTGTTATGTTGCTAAGTCCTATTTTATTCACATATGGCATTTGCAACCGACAAAAACTAATATATATTTTTATATGGCTTTCTGCTTAGCCAGATGCTCAATCCATGTGGGGGTTATAATAAACATTTCTTTCCTTGATAATTTTCCATTCAATTTTGGTTTTAATAATTTTCTTTTAACTGAAAAGATTTGCTTCTTTTTTTTGCCACCACAGTCTCTTGCTGGTGTGCACTTAATCTGGGACTTGTTTCGTCATAAAACTCGTTTCTGAGCTATGCAAAGATTCCATCCCAAAAAGATTTTCTTCACTTTTGCCTTAACCTTTTTGTAGTATTTCGTTTTAAAATTCCATTAAGCTAGAAACCCCTACATGCCGTTGGAACTCATTTTGATTTTTTATTTTTTCAGGGACCTACCAGTTTGTAGAAACTTTTATACAAATATGAGCTGCTCTTAAATTTTCAGCATGCATGATAAAGACACTTAAAATTGATTTTTAAATAGTTTGAAACCTTAATTTCAATTGTGAATGCTTATTTTTTATTATTGATTGATGTAAGAATAAGTACATGTAACACTTAATTTCTTCAAATTGCATTGCAGAATATATCTTTATTGAATATGCGGATTTCCATTTAATGTACATCCAAGAAAAGCAAGATTCCGTTTTTCGCCGTTTTCATTGTGAACTGAATTCAAGAAAATTTAGAAGGTGCAACAACAGAATTTGAGACTGCCTGAATTGAGCTTCGGATACTCGAATAAAGGATTTATGACAACATAGTTTTCTTTTGAATTTATCATTCCGGGTCTTAAAACTATGGGCTTTCATGTGTACCAGGTGGTCGGCCTTTTCGGCAACTCAAACAGCTAAATGAGTCTAACAAACAATCTTTTAAAGAATTTTATCAGAATTTTGCTGTATATTCAGAGATATACATTAAATTCAAAACGAATTACTTTGAGTCATATCTAGATTATTAAAACATATATATAATTTTCAGCAAATATTCAACTACCGTCAAAAGCGTTGATCTGTTTTACATTCACGCTTTTATAAAAACTTGAGGCACAAAATCCGATAAATAAATCGCAAAACACGAAGTTGACTGTTTTTTTGTTATCAACTGATGCAAGATTTTTACGAAAAAACGTAATTTTTTCGTTACGTAATAACACATTTTCCCAAATTTCAATAACATGAAACTAATAATGAAAATTAAATTAAGTTAATGAACCAATGTATTGGACCAATGACAATGAGACTTAGAATACTTAATTCTGATCTTGATTATTCTCTTACGTCAATTGTAGTTTTTAGACTTTAGTCCGGCAACTTTTTATTTCAGACTTTTAATTTTTCATCTGGGAAAAAAAGGGACGCTCATAAACTAAGCACCCTTAAGGCTTCAATTTGTTTAAAGGGCTATGCAAGTTCAGAACTCTTAAAAAATAAGATTATTGCCTTAATTCCGAGAGATTTATGTTCTCTAAGCAACTAGTTTTTCTCCCAATTTGTTTATTACACTCAAAACTAACTTTTACATGAGTGTTTGTTTAAAACCTTCTCATTTTCTTCGCGTCATGTAGTATTTTTTACGCAAGAATATTCTACGGTATAAAGCCTCTGGTTGAAAACCCCGAAGTTTTCTGGAACGTGGAAGGTCGATGGAAGGAAGAATGAATGAGTAGTCTGAACATAAAATTTGCACTCGCTTCCAAAGATGATGTGTTTCGAGTGTTTTAATCTCGTCCCTTAAGAACAGTCTTGTCTGTACTCCCCAACAGTACTAGTTTATTGTTGCCTTTTTTTATAATATCCCATACAGACTTTATTTTTAGGGTATAGTATATCTACACGAAAGCAACGTCATTCATAGAGACGTAAAAGGTAGCAATATTTTGCTGACTAAAGAAGGTGAAGTAAAATTATGCGATTTTGGTTTGGGTAAAAAACTAACTCAAAATGATGATAAACTCTATGACTGTGTTGGATCGTCATGTTGGATGGCACCTGAACTCGTTACAGCAAATAAAGAAGATTCCGAAAAAGGATTCTATGACAACAGGTAAATTTTTCAAAGTGTGCACTGAAAACTGTTTAAAAAAAAATAGGTATTTTTTAACAGAAGATATTAATAATTTTCGATTTTAAAGCAGTTAATTTGATTTATATTATATGGTCATCACTCGCAAAATGTGGATTCATCATCTTTTTCAATTGGCGCTGTTACTTGGAATATATCTTAGTTTCCAAATGACAATCTAATTGGGGGTAATTGCATATTATTGATCCCATTATATGTACTAACTAAGTACCCATTATACCAGCATCACCGACGTTACCCCAAGGCCACCAGATAATTACGTCTTTTAAGGCTCAATTCGGAGAAATCACAGGCAACAAAATGCCATATAACAATAGTAAAAGGTGATTATAATACTAAAATTGGAGAGAAATCAAATTAGATTAGCGGCCATGGAATGGGCAAATGAAACGAACGCCGTTAGGCATAGAGCAAGGTCGTAATTCCTAACTTTTATTCTGCCAAAAAGAAGATTGTATACGTGAAGAAGAAAACAATGAGTCTCTAAGTGTGACTGTCATGAATTTAATGTGCAACAAGTACTAACTTGAAATTCGGACACTTAGATTAAATTTTGCAGTGGCATGGAACACGATAAGCCATTTTTATGCTAAGTGTGTTAAACGACAAATCAAAATGTGCCTACCAATAGACAACATGTCTGTACAAGTCACACTTTAAATCCCTTGGCACTTTAATTAATGAAAGCAGAATTGAAATCCTAAGCAAGAATCAATAAAACTAGAACAGTATTTATTAAAATTAAGAAACTTGGAGCGCTGTTCCCTCAGTAAGGAAGCTTCAAGGAGATTGAAGGCGTTTCAGATGTGAGCGGGTGTGCGTTTAATGGAAATATCCTGAATAGTTAAGGTTGGAAACCAGCAAGTTTCGAGGAAAATGAACAAATAATTTTAAGTTTTGTTCACCATAAAAATATTTCTGCAGTGTCGACCTACGCAGGATCGGCTGAATTTGCGTGGCCGTTATAGCTTGGATAGCCATGCTGCTCAGAAATATCCAGTCGACACGATAAAGCCAAGAAGAAGAAAAACGCTTAACAACTTTTAGTTTGAAATGCATTTTTGTAAATGTTATCGATTCTACAGTACCTAATACTAATTAATATTATATTGTATGGAGCATAATAACTACTACAATTCTTCTGTTCTCTTTATCAGAGTTGATGTTTGGGCTTTGGGTATAACGGCCATTGAATTGGCTGAAGGTGCAGCTCCTTTTCGAAATATGCAACCCTGTCGTGTATTGTTCGAAATTGTCAAGAATCCTCCACCCGCATTGGAAAAAATTTCGAACTGGACTGAAAATTTTCATGACTTTATTAGTGAGTGAGTATCCAAATAATCATTTGAAACTTTAACTGGTCGATGTTTTTTAAAATTCACGCAATAGATGTTTGGTGCAGTATTTTGAGCATAGACCTTATATTGTGGAAATAATTCAGCATCCCTTCTTAGAAGTCATCCCCGAAAATAACTATCATGTGAGTTAAAGTTTACAATCGGATGATAAGTATTCCATCTGGAATTACCTAAACTAATTGTTCCTATTCGACAGTTAAGTTTGGAAATCAAAACTCTTATAGTCGAAGCTGCTAAAGTCCCATTGAAAGTGAAACCTACTGAAACGGTAATAATAGAAACATGTTTTAAAAGCTCTGCAGATAAAAAGCTGAAAAAGATAGTGGAAGAGGATTTAGCGAACCTAGACCGCATTAGCGAGGAAACCGTGTTAAGTGTGATAGAAGAACGTTTCCAAGACAGACAGTTTTATACATTCGTTGGAGAAATTTTAGTTGCCGTAAATCCAAACGAGCCTTTGGATATATTTGGGAAAAAGGTTGCATAACAGCTACGTGTTCATACTGATTAAATACTACTAATTATTCAAACTTTTAGTTTCATGAACTTTACTTTCAAAAATCGCGATCCAATAATCTTCCGCACATTTATTCTGTAGCTGATACTGCATACCAAAATGCAATGCATCACAAAATTCCTCAGCAACTCATTCTCACAGGTACCACTTTAATAACTTGCTGATGCACTTGTCGAGTAAATTTGTGTCTTATAGGGGAATCGGCATCTGGAAAAACGAGTAATTATCTACATCTAATAGATCATTTATTTTTTATTGGTGAGCAGCACCCTGTAAACGTGTCTAGAATTCGTAATGGTATAAACCTCATTCATGCATTAACTCATGCAAACACGTCTACAAATGTCTATTCTACAAGGTAAGAGAAATAAATTCCATTATTTCACTTCATGTGCCTATTAAATGAAATTTCAGATGCATTTTCAAAACTAATATTTCTTTTGGCCAAAGTGGGAAAATAAGTGCAGCAACATTCAAAACTTGGTGTCTTGAGAAATCGATTATATCCTCTGTAGACATGTAATTATATGCTGTGGAAAAAAATTCCGATGATCTAAGATGTTTCGTTTATAGGAATCAGAGCACATTTCATGTTTTTTATTACATTTATGATGGCCTAGTTCATAGTGATGCTACAGGAAAATATAAGCTACACTCAGAACGGAATTATAGATATATGCGGATACCTGATCATCATGTAAAATCTAAAGAGAACCCTAGAGATAATATTGAACAGAATGTTATTAATTATAAAAAAATATTCAGCTGCCTCGAGGAATTTGAATTTTCAGAGGAGCAAATTGTAACGTTCTTTTCAGTGATCGCTGCTATTTTAAATTTGGGCGAGTATCTCAATTCGGGACACTAGTGTCTACGTAGCCTAAACACAAACTGAAATTTTAGGTGAAATACGATTTAGTGAAAGCACGGAAATGAGCAGTTCTAAGTTACAGGAGAACGAATTCGTAACGAATTTCTGTGATTTAATGGAAATAGATAAAACCAGATTTTGTTGGGCTTTAACAAATTATTGCATTTTCAAAAAAGGTATACTGATAAGGTGTTTAATTAACGATTTTTTCATTTGTAAAATTCAATCAAGGGAACGTGGTGAAGATGAAAAATACATGTGACGAAGGTAGGAATTCACGAGATGTCTTAGCTAACAATCTGTATAGTCGTTTCGTGGACTATGTTGTGGGCGCTATTAACGACAAGTTAGAAATCGGAAAGGCCATCTTGTGAGCATTAACTTAAGAACACATTTGCCCAGCTCTAATCCATGTTATTTCAGTGGAAACAAGTATGCGATAAATCTTCTGGATATCTTTGGTTTCGAATGCTTTAAAGAGAATCACTTGCCACAGTTTCTTGTGAACTGCTTAAACGAACAGTTTCAATACCATTACATACAAAAAGTGTTCCGCGCAGAAACGCAAGATTTGGTTTCTGAAGATATCGAGTTTGAAACCCAGACTTTCTTTGATAATAAAACAACACTGAATCATTTGCTCAGTAAACCAGATGGCGTTTTAAGTATCATAGATGAAGCTTCCAAAAAAAATTTAAGTGGACATTATATCATGGGTAAGCAGTTAACTTAATTTAAACTTAATTGAAATTAAGTTTTGAAGTTAAATGTTCTTAGTTCATTAACGAATTTCAGATAACTTACAACGTCTGGAAACAAATAGGATTGTGGTGAAGAGTTATATGGAATTTGCAGTTGCACATTTTACAGGACGAGTGTCTTACAATTCAAGGGAAATGTCGGACAAAAATAGAGATTTTCTTCCAGCAGAAGTAATTGAAACATTGAGAGAATCGGAAAATCCGATTATTAGATCTCTATTTCTAAATAAATTGGACAAAACTGGTTGCTTAGTTCTGAACTTCGACCGCACTAGAAGAAATAAGAGAACGGCCCAAAATAAAAACGTAAATATGTTATAAACCTTAATTAAATCTAATCTCGGTTAAACTTCCTTAAAATACGAATTTGCTGCTATGTTTTATTTTTATTACTATTTATTTAGTAAGTTATTATAAGAATCTATCGAATTAACTTTAGTTGCCTACATGCGTTCAACTTAGAAGGCAATTTTCGCATAAATGTAATCACAATGTTTTATAGGTGTTCTGATTTCCAGACACAATACTAGAAAAATCCAGAAAAAAATACAATTTCTGTTTCTCATCTGTTTCTCATTTAAGGAAGATATTATTTAATTAAAAACGCACGTCTCGGTACTGTTAGCTCCAATCAATTGGGTTCAACCAAAGAGTATTTACGTAATTAAATTAAATGAAAATAAAAAAGAAAAAAACTAACGCATATAATGTTTATGGACATATTCTTTGGTTCAGCCCTAAAAGCCTCCATCATAGCTGGGTACCATTCGTCGGAAACTACTTCAGTTACGCGCGAAAAAAAGTTCAAACCAAAAACGATATAATAATGTGCTCATTATTTTAATTCTTTTTTTTTGGCTAAGAATCACCATAAACTGTGCCTCAGATATTCAACTCAGCGCTTAGGTAGTCTTCCTGTAGATCTATTAGGTATCTCTCCTTTTGCATTTTTTATAACTCGATCATTAATTTTGTTGATATCATCTCCTCACGCACGTTTTCCAGTTTTAGTTCATTTACTTTATCCGGGGCGCCAGACTATATTTTGATGTAATTGCTTCTTGCCTGGCGTCTGATCGTTTTTCCTGCGATTGATTGTAAATCAACACCTCAGTTGAGCCTCAGCTCTCCAAAGCTCTTTAATCGGCTATCTCTGTGTCGTTGATTCTATCGCGTATAGTATAATGAGCGTAATACACAAAATATACTTAGCCCAAGATATATTTTATATGTTTGTCTTCGGTTGTTCACATTAAAAAATGTATTCCCCCATTTCTCGTTTCACAGAAGTATCGATATCTTAGCTGTTGTTGTAAACAAGTTGCAGGTTTCTATTGTAATGTGAACTCCTAAATATTAGAAATACATAATTTATTAGAGGTCGCCATGATGTACCTTCTGGAATTTTTTAATATTGTGATGGATTGTGCTTTCTGTGTCGAAATGGTAATATTCAATTTTCAAGCGACTGTTTCACATTTATATCGTGACATTTGCAAATTCAAATTGTCCTCATTCGCCGCTATAACAACTGCGTCGTCGGCGCAGCAAATTATCTTAAATCCTTGTTTTATTCCCATTTTCTATTATTTACCTGAAGTTTTTACTTTTTTGTTATTTTGTGCATTATGTGCTTGTGTGATTTCTGTCGATACTAGTATTTGCTAGAGAGTTTATTGTTTCAGCTTTCATATGTACGATATTTTGATTGTTCATGTCTCTGATAATCAGTTTCGTCGGCGCCGACCGGAACTTTTCAACAATTGTCTTAAGAAAAGTATTGCGCTTATGGTGGATATGGTGGTAGTGGTGACGTTTTCTGCAAAAATAATTCTCATTTTTGGAAAAATGAATAGCTATACTTATTTTTCCATTGCTATAGTAGCTAAAGAGTCCTCATCTTTTTCAAATATTATTAGCTTGAAGTACAAGAAAATGTTTCTATAGAATATTTTTCATTCTCTTTTACAAATAATTTAATATATTTCATGGGTAAAATCAATGGTTTTGCGTTAAGTTTTTTGCATTTTTTGAACTATCTTTTACTTGCTTAATGTCTCTTCTGCGTCGTCATCTCTTAGAACCGTAGTTTCAATTATTGCTTTGAGTAAAATAAAATATCTAATTATGAAGAAAAGCAGATATTCTGCAATATATTAAGTGTGCATTAAGAAGAGAAAAAAGACGCGAATACATAAAACTGTTTGTTGCATTAATGCAGAAAACCATTTTTTTTCCAAATAAATCTTTAAATCTATTTTTGGAGTAATTGACAAACAGCAGCACATATCAGCAGGTATGGAAATTTTGGTAACATTATCTGTAAAAAAATGGAAATGGAAAGCACCACCCGTCGCTTCTCCGAATATATTGAAGTTTTGACCTCGTTTATGTTGTTGACGGTGCCGAAGTTTTATTTACGCGATTGCGATGCGATTATTCGTAAGAAATAAATGGGAATGTTATAAATATGTCAGAGCTTCAATATCTACCTTGAAATCAGAAAGAGACCCAGAACAACTAAGAAACTAAGGAAAATCTTGTCGAAATTCTTTTTAAGAACTGGGAAAATTTGACAAAGAACAAGTCAATTATGGATTCTTGCCCTATTATTTTATCTATTTAGTTGAAAAGATCTAAGAAAACTAACTACGGTTTTGCTCTTTTCATTACAAGCATCATTCTATATGATTTAAAATGAAAAGTGAATGAGAGGTTAACCAGGATTTTATATAGATGTATTTTGTCTTTATCTGCGTTTCGAGAGACTTGGTTAACTACGGGATAGCTTGTAAGTGTGTGACGCTGAGTTTTACTGAAACGGCTTTCGACCATTTCCTCAAAATCAGTCGACATTTTAGGGCTTTTCTAAACGGCAGAAAAAATCAGTCAAAGTTTCCATTTTTTTCTCGCCCTGATGCGCCAGCCATTACTTGTTCCGCTTGCATTAGTCATCTATTAGAACTTCCGGCAACATTCATTTGTAGAACCAAAGGTAGTTTTAACAAATTGAAGATTATATTTAGACGTTTAATAAAAGAAGCTTTTAATAGAAGATCGTGATAAATAATATAACAAATTTTTCCCGCTCATTTTAATTTAAAAGGAAATGTTCGCATATTTTTTGTTTACAAATTCGTTTTATTCTAGAACGCCGGTGTAAATCAGTTTTCCCAAATTCGTAACTTACGGACCTCAGGGAGCATATTCAGAAGTGTTTGTTTGGAACTGATGAGAGAACTTTCAATTGGTGGTAATTCTGGAGGAACGCACTTTATAAGGTGGATTTAATAAATTAAAATTAACTAAAAAGTAAACATATGGACAACGAAGGAAAGCAGTTTAAACACAACACAGTTTGTGTTTCAATCATTTACTGAATTATTGCAGGAACATCAAAGTATTTTATATTACTTTTGTGTTCTTTGGTTTACTGCTTACTCGGCAATCCAATTGATTTTTGCAACAATTACAAAAATTTACTGGATGGTCAATGAATGAACCAATTTAAAGAAAACGTTGATTGTAAAACTATACATTCGCTGTATTAAGTTTTTAGACTTTATTGTATCCAGGTATTTTATTTTGTTTCTTAGGTGTATCAGATCCGATCTCAAAGCAAAACCACATAGCTTTAATAGGGAATTAGTAAAACAGCAAATTAGGTCCCTGGCCCTTACTGAAACTGCCTTAATTCGACAAAAGGGCTTTCCACACAGAGTGTCATTTTCAGAATTTTTACAAAGGTACAAATACACTTTCAGACATTATCAAAATTTGAGTATCTATTTTTAATTTAAAGATACAAGTTTTTGGCATTTGACTATGACGAAAATGTGGAAATTACTAGAGAGAACTGCCGTCTGTTATTAATTCGGCTGAAAATGGAAGGTTGGGTTGTTGGAAAATCCCAAGTTTTTCTTAAATATTATAATGAAGAGTATTTATCGAGATTGTATGAGACGCAAGTAAGAAAAATAATAAAAATCCAAAGTATTATGAGAGGATTTCTTGCCAAATGTAAACTTAACAAGCAAAACAAAGATCAAGAGAGAAGTTGCAGTAAGTATGTATATATTTTACGATTTCCTCATTATTCCTACTTAAATGTTTTAGTTCAAGAAATTGGCAAGCGCCGAAGAAGCAGTGTTTTAACTGAAAATGAAGCTGCGGAGATCATACAAAAAGGTAACTGACAAAGTTAGTAGTCTATGTTTTATATTTATTGCTTCTATCATAATATTTTTTACATCTTTCATACACCTTCCAGAATATACATTAATAGAAGGAGTTTTATGAACGTCACATGAAAATTTCTTCTCAGTGATGCCATTTCGTGTGAAGCTCATTCCTTCAATTCGTAGTTTTCTTAAGCGCATGCTAATTAGCATTTTAATATTCCATAAAAAAGGTTAAACCGATAGAGAAAGGAAAAAAGTCTGTTGTCTATACTCTAAAAATGTTAAAAATAATCACACCCAAACAGACTTAACTTGAAAATGTAATTGAAATTATTTTGATTTATTTGGCAAGGTGTTTTTCTAATGTTGACCCCTTTGAAATTTATCGTGTTCTCAAAGACAGTTATTTTAAAATGATTTATGAGGCTGTTTTATTATTTCTGCTTTACATTTCAAGAAATTCACTGAAACACTTCTATTTACCTGTGATATTGTATTAACAGTCAGTGTTTCCACTATATACTTTCACAAAGATCAGTGGATTGACTTCCAAAAGCTGCATAACTCACGAAAATAATGATGTTTTTTGAAAATTATGTTTTATTGTAAAAACTTATTCTTTAGCTTATAGAAAATCGGTTATACGACATAAGACTCTATCAGATATTTATGCGTCCCTAAGTGACGAAGAACGAAATCTAATTTCGCCCTTTGCTAAAAAATGGAAAATGTCAAGTTTATTTTATATTCTGATCAAATATCGAACCGCAAAACTTTACGACTTCTTCAATTTATCTCAACAGGTAAGGTTATAATGAACTCCTAATGAGCTGATATTATGCCTTACATTTCCATTAAGGTACACTTTTACAATCAAAATGCCTTCTTCGAGATAAAAAAAAACTGCAAACCTGTGAAATTAAAACTAATTGATAAAGACGCAAAGGAAAGTTCCTGGTTTCAGGACATCAACCCAGTAGCACTTAAAATGAACTTTTGTTTAGCAGAAATTCCCTTTATTGATACATCAGTAATGTGTGATTCATTCACTACTATCAGGTAAGTACACTCTTGTATTCAGTTAAGTTTTCCATTTTCAACCAATAACTTCTTTTAATGGTCAATGTGATCATAATATGTTGTCAGTGAGAACAAGAAGTTACTTAATATTATGACAAAATTTATTTTGGGGGATTAGGAACGTTTGCTGCTCAAGTTTGACCAGAAAACTAGATGAAAATGTGTTTCTTTGCAATCGAACTTCTTACCATAAAGTAAGCGACTTTTACTACTTTGTCAACATTATTTGCCCGACGTCGTTTTGATAGCTTAAAATGCCACCATTTCCGGAAGAAGATTAAAACATATTTTTACTGTATTCAAGAATTAAATAAGTATTTAAGTAAGAAGCAAAATTAACAAGTGTATTAATTTATCTTAAAACTCTATAATTCCTATCAAACATTATCTGGTTTTTATGAAAAATAAAGAGTATTTTTTATTGTTTTTATTTACGTAGGTATAGAAAAAGGCAGAAAGCACTATTATTTGAAAACTCAATCGCAAAAAAGCACACATTTATTGGCGTCACTTTGCACGTCTGCTCAGACATTGCTTGCATCTTTATGCGATAGAGAACAAACAATCTACATTTCTAATTATCTGGATCAGAGGTGACTATCATAAGAACATGGCACATTCGTTCGATTCCAAATCTACTTCAATTTTCAACAATATTAACTTTTTAGTGTATTTTTTGTTTACGAGTTTAGTATGTTTTTAGTCTACCTGATGGGCTGTGAGTTCAATTCTTGTTTTCACACTTTCTTCGCTCGCTTTATTTTTTTTCGCACCTTAACTGTTTGTTGAATAATTTGAATAGGTTCAGCGACTTCTAAGGCTAAGCAAGGAATCGAAGAGTACTTGTTGATATCAAGAGATAGAAAGTCATATGGTAATAAAAACTGAGCAACTAAAAAATTCTTGTAATGTTTACCTGACGATTTTTTTTCTCCTACAATGACTGCATCAACATTCTAATAAAAGAAACGCGAAATTAAAGTTTGCACCTTCGGTCTGTTCTAGTAAGCGGACGATTTTATATCAGTAATAGCGTTTTGATTAAGGATTTGATTCAATGCCACTGCTGCTTCTTCATCCTGCTACCATGTGGATTTATGGAATTTCCATATTCTGGATATCAAGATCTATGTCTTCATTATTGCTTTCATTTATAACATGACTTGGTATCTAATAATCAATCATTTTATTCGTGTTTTGGTTTTTCATCTAAATTTGTAGTAATAATATGAAATCAAATACAGATATTTGGTTGCTACCGTTATATTGATCAAGAACTGTTTTAAGTCAAAGACCCGAATCATCAAATTGAGTTGAAACGGTCTTCAGTATTTTCTTAGAGCGTCACAACATCTTCAGGATGTCTTTAACAAAAGCCTTCCGCCTGAGAATCAAAGCAGTTTAAGGACAATGGTGATGTCAATCACAGACGATGCGTTTTCGTCTAACATATTGAAAATAGTACTGAGTTGGAGAGGTACTTCATTTCAAATCGGAACAATCCAGCATTACCTGAAACACCTTTTAGAAAAATCAGCTTCAAAACAGTTTTTTTTTTGTCAATGTTACAAAGTTTCAGAATAAAACCTAGGTCATCTTATGCATATTTGTGTATAAACGGCCGAATTTTTATACGATTTTCAAAATATACGACTTTTGAAATTATATTAAATTAACCAGAACAATGATGCAGATCTGGGTTACCCGAAGATTGCTGGGATAGTCCATACCGATTTCAAACTGATCGGCATAACTTCAAAACCGAAGCAAGCAAAGATTTGGAATACGAAAACGGCATTCTATCAATGCCATACAATCGAGATCCTAACATACCCTTGACAATATTGGCAAGCACTACTGATAAAGACGACCGTATAGAGAATTCCGCCAATAATAAGAAGGTAGTGAGTCCATGCTACATAAAGAAAAATTATCAGTCTAGATATAGTGACAAACGTGAGAACAACGAGGAAGTAAAAAGCAACGATTCGAGATATGAACCTCAAATGCATGCGCCTATAAAATTCAGGCAAACTGAATTCAAGCATAGGTATTGGGACTTAATTACTCACAAGCTAGTTTGAAACACATAAAATTACATTGGAATATATGTTTGGTTAACTGGAGAAACAGCAGCAAAGTCTGGTTGTTGATTGATCAATGCTTCGTCGGGAAAAATATACATAGTTTAAGTCTTCAAGATGATGGTAATTACAAGTAACACGGTTCTCTCAAAGTGAAAGGATTCAAAGAAATTAAAAGTATTCGTAACTGAATACGTGAATGGTAAGCAATTGAGATCAGTTTGGGATCGAGAGGCAGAAACAAGCACTAGCACAGTTTTCAAATCAGGAAAAAAAAATTGGCGTGTGGCATATTAACAAAATAAATATAAATGTAAACAAAAATAAGCAAACCACCTAACCTGAAGTTTGTAAATGATTAACTGTTTCTCCATTTAATCAAATGCGCATGTTACTTTATTTATATCTTTTGGGTGTCGTGATACTGATCTCATGATTCTTGTCGTATACGATGTTACCTTCAACTTCAATTTTAGGAACGATCAAGTGGAAAATGATCGTAACTCAACATCAGGAAACAAGGATTTTGGCTTGTTAAAATCCAGTAATCGTTCAGCTGCATCTAGAAATTTCGATCCCATAGCAGAACTTAGGACAATAACTCGAAGGTAGGAGTTTACGCAGATCGCTCTCCATCAAAAAACAAGACAAGTAAATACCTATCTGTTATAAATATGCTGTCATTGTTTCTGAAAGAGGCAGTAACGAAGACGATCCACCATTCAACTTCCAAGGTATGCTTCGCAAAACAAATTTCCAAAGAAATTCTATGAAGAAAGCGTCAGGCTCTCGCCGAGAATCCCTAAGAACTGCTTTGGAAACCGTACGGAAATTCTCGTTGCCTAAAGACAAAGACGAGCCTACCCAGAAAACTGAAATGAATGAGAAAAAATCGAAAGTTCTAAATGGTAGACCTGTTTATATGGAATTGGAAGATGGCTTAATTTTAGAGGGAGTTCAGGTGGACCTATAAATCATACCGGAATATTTCGACATAGACAATATTTACTAGTTTAGATTTATAAGTTGCCATAATTCACTGAGTTATGATGACATTTTAACTATAAATTAAGAAAAATATTCAAATATCCAAGACCACGCCTTCAGAATTGTCAAGCAATAAGAAATGTTTCTTCTTAATAATTTTCTTCTAAAACATTTTTTCGTTTATTTTTTATCAGCTGAATAATTCGATGTGAGCGAATTATTAGATTTTCAAAGTGAATAAATGCACAGGAATTTTCAATACCGTTCTGTTATAGGTAGTCAATATCAGTCGATGTGTTATACCTCAATACTTTATTGCTTGAAATTTTATATACTTTATATATGAATATTAATCTATACCATTAATTGTTATTTGTTATAAGTCAAACTAACTTTAATAAAACCATGAGGATTCATCGGGATATGTTATTCACACTTTGTTATCAGCTATAAATTATTCTGTTCTATAGTAATTCTTAAGCTAAACAACTTACATATTTTGCAATTGTGTTTACTACGAATTATAGATTATTTAAAAAAATTGAGTCAAATTTTATTTAAAAAAATTGCAAAAAAAAAAAATTTTATTGCAAATTTCGCATTTCAATTTCCAGCGCCTCAAAAACCTGCATTCACAGCGATCCAGCTGGAGCTGGAATGCTTGACGGAAGCTGGAATGCTGCACGCTGTTGTAAACTCTTCCACAACAAAGCGTAAAGCAGCTATTTGGTCCAACGTTGATGGTACCGAAATAGTTATTATAAGTTATTATAATATAATAAACCTGTATAATTTTTATAAGTGCGATAGACATAGAGGTATCGTGATTTTGCACTGCTTACTTCTCGTCTCTTTGAAATTTAATTTTCTAGAAAATATAGTTACCAGCTTACTCACAGCAATAGCTATATCTGTAGCAATTCGTTCTTCGCTATAATGCCGATATTTTCAATAAAATTTATTGTCTAAAAAATTAACTTCATCCCTTCCTCAGTGTTCTGCAACCATCTGCACATATATTTGAGAAAAAATCGAGTTTACTTTAGCTCAGAGTTTAACAGTCTGTGGCTTTTGATTGGTTCGCTGCATAAGATTCATATATTAGTCACTCAGTTCATTATTTAGTAGTATGAAAATGTTGTTAAAAGCACATTAGTAGTAAAGTGTGAAACATTTGAAAATAAAAGACCCAAGCAGTATTAAGCAAGTTGCAGTTGTCCTGAGAATTACTTTTAAACCTGTTTTCAGTACGCCTTCATACTCCGAGATAACACTCCAAAAATAATTACACTCATTTTTAGTCACCCTATATGTATATGAAGATGCAAAATAAAATATAATACATATGATTAGTAGCTTGCAGTATACACATTTTTTAACTAGAGAACATTTTTATTTTACTACCTGATAATACCTTATTCGTGCCATTCAAATATTTGTTTCTTATGTAATTTTCCAATAGCAACAAGTTATACTATAGGTTATGTATTAACAAAATAAATATAAAAATTAACTGTTTTAACATGAAAACTTAAATAATTAAATTAAATTAAATTAAAGTGTCTATGAACGAAGTGAAGTAATACTACTTACTAGTTATGCAGATCGAATCAAAATAAAACTGCGGCATGATCGACATTCTTAAACTTTTTTACCTTGAAGTTGAGTATCTAAAAGCTAAATCCAAAATGTACTAAGTAAAAATAACTAAGTACGTAAATGTATCATTGCAGTTGCGCTTTAAGCGGAAACAAATTTGCAAACCATTACCTACTATTTAAAACAAATAAAAAAAAGTGTTTTACATTATCTCCAACTGAGTGCTATCTATTATAATTCCAAAAAGCATGACGTCTATTTTAATATGTATTTTAGAATCGTTTCATTTCAACTTAATTAACCGTGGTATTGCAAATATTTTATGGTTTGGACCAGTGTTGTTCCAATCTCATCTCGAGCGAAAAAACAAAAGCAATGGCATGCGTGTGGTCTTCATAATAATCCCATAATATTAAGCGAAGACCAAAATGCTAAGCCCGAAGTAAGAGGCGGGGTTCTTAGATACCTTTTGTGTGAAAATATTTCAGATCATAAAGGTAGAAACCATCTTTGGGAGGAGCAAATAAATTATTACAATGAATGCGAAAAATGACCATCAATTTAAAATATGTTGTCTGATAGCTTTATACAATATTTGCTGTTCATAGTAGGTATACAGGCTGTTTCGAAATTGGCGTAACTTTGTTAAGGGGCTCCTGGAGCTTACTGGGTGACAACGGAAAAATTGTTATTTTTTGATGAGTTCGTTTGTCGAAAGTATCAGCTTTTGAAGAGGCATTTTCGATGTTGCTATTGGGCAAACTGTTAGTGTGGATAATAATTAACTACTAATAATACTAAAATTAAATTCTACACTCTTTTCTGACAAATAACCACGACAATAATACTATTAATAATATTTGTTGACAAACCTGTCGGGTCACAGCATATTTTTCGTTAGTGCTTTTACCATTCTCATCAAAACTTAGATTTTATAACAATGTCTTACATGAACAAAGTTTCAGAGAAGTTGTAGAAGAAAGTTAGCCAAAACTGAAAAGCTCATTTCTGAAGCGTTATAGAAGGCAGTACTCACTCAGCATAAGCAACAACTAAGAGCGTGTTGAGCAATTGTATGACATTACCTTTTATTTACCTTCACACTCGAATTATAGATCCAAACACTGTTGGTTGCATAAAAAAGTGTGCACGTTTGTGATCAAAATCGTGCAATGAGAGTACGCATTGATATGCATGTCTTCGTGTCAGTTTTCCTTTAACAACTCATCTTAAATGTCTAACTTCCTCTCAGATAATTAGATTGATAAACGTATAGTTCCATAAGTGAAATATTGCGCCATCCCGTCTTTTCTAGTACATTTTAAATTTAATCTGCTGCCTTTGTTGCTTTACAAATTTTTCAACATTTCCTTATCTAATATTAATTGCTGCAAAATTTCTGATTTAGTATATGGTAAATATCTCACTTTTGTATCAATTATTTGTATTTATTATTTTTGGTGTATCTTCAGAGGAATTATGCCGATTTTAAATAATCCAGTAGAAATAAATAAAGGAAAAACACATTAATTTCCTCACCTTTCTCCTTCCTTCCTTTCAACAGAGACAAACTTCCCATCTGAGCTTGCGACCTAATTCAACCTGTGTTGTGACCCAATTTCATTTTGTAATGCGTATTTGATTTGCATTATCAATATATCTTAATTTATCGCCTTTCAATTTAATTTCTTTTAGATGTTTAACGGAACAAAATAATTGGTTTAGTATATGGTATTATTACAGTGTTATAATAATATTGGTAATAACACAACAATGCACGGATTTCATTTCGTCGGGTGCTTGTTTAATGAATAACATTTTATATTTTAAGACAAAACAATGCGTTAATAAATTTTCGCATTGCTCCGACAAATACATAAATTCCGCCTGTTCAAAAATGTTCTATTCAGGTGTCCATAGAACTATGCTCTTAAAGTAAGCATTCCGCATTGAAGCGTACAATTACACGTACTCGCTATTAGATTTAAACAAAATAAATAAAACTGCATGTATTGCTCCTCTGAAAAAGAATATAGCTTCTTACTAGCTGCTATAATTATCTACACTTTAACATATTGCGTTGCTACTAGCAGTCCTTAGTAAAGACTAAATAGCAGTGTATTTGCAAACAATGCCTTTGCAACTTTACTGAATGCACCTCTAGATGCAGTTATGTGTCAGAAGCGTGTGAACGAATATTACCATTTAATAACTGAAAGTAAGCTTAATATGCTTATTCTCTATGAACGCACAAAAAAAATATTTCCGGTAGAAACATAAGAAAATTAAAAGCAGACATAACTTCAATTTAGCTCATATTAATGAAAAATAAATAAGTTAAACTGAAAAAATACCGATGCCGAGCAAAAATATGACAGTAATTCAATTCATTCATCAAAAGTACAAAAAAGTGTTTTTTAGAAACATTACATTTTAAATTATTATTACCTTATTGAAGACTGTGTAAGTTTACTTGTTGAAAATAATAACTCCTCAAATTCATTGCAATGCCAAAAGCTTAGACAAAGCACTAGCAATTACAATTTCACCAAATTTTATGTTGCAAGTCATTTCTTGGTTAAGTTAACGAAATCGACTTAGGGCTTTTAGCACTGCATAAATTTACATAAGTTTTTATTTGCTTAACGGGAGTTGGCGTTGTTTGGGCGGAAATATAAAAACTATTCCCCAACTGGTATTCTTGTACTTGAACTGGCTTTATATCGAGCTTTGAGAGCATCACTCTAATTTGGTTGATAAATAACTTTTTCCCAATAGTTTAACTAAAAGTTGCTCGCTGGGGTAATTTATAAATACGGCAAGAAGGATTATTATTATTTTGTCTGAAGCGTTTTAAATTTTATCAAAAAAACTGAAAAAAAAAGGTTATTGTAGAAAGGTATAATGTCCAATCTTCATAATAGAACGCTTGGAAAAGGCAACTCGTAGACATAAAACGTTCATTAGTTTCCACCGAACTTATAGAAGATTTAATCAATGAAATAAGACACATGGTCTTCTGTAAATCCCATTACTTTTAACGCATTAAGATTGATTAATTTGAGACCTACTCGTTCTATATAATATTCCGAATTTATTGACATGCACATCGAAGCTCTATGCTATGCAAAGAATTTAAAAAAGTCATCAAAATTAGGGTAACATAATAATTATCAAAGGCCAAAAAGAAGCAGTTACTCTTACTAAATCACAAAAATAAATGCAATACTCCAATAATCAGAACAAATAGGAATAAAACCCTTACAAAACAAAAACTAAAATACTTGGAATTAATGCTAAATCAGGAACTAAAATTAACTAGGTACGCATAAAACATAAAAACAAAATACCTAATTTGTGACTACGTCTATCTCTGATATAAAAGGTTATTATTTATGTCATTGTTTGTTAATTATATTTTTAAATTCACTGTTAAACAACATCACTTCGCCTTTTGTCCTTTCATTTCACTTAACCAGTTTTAAGTTTAATGTAAGTATGTTAGCTATTTAAAGAATCAATTTATGTTATCGGCCATATAATGACTGGAATTACTATTAATGATATGTTTGTTAGTTATGTTTTCATATTACTGTAAAATAATATTTCTTTTGTCTTTGTACTTTATACTTGATTTTACTTTTAGTCAGGTTTCTCTCTATTGACTTTTATTGACTAAATGAATACCTTTTGAGGACTTTAAAATTATTTTTTTGGCAAAAATAGTTTTTACCCAGCTTTCTCTTATTAAACAAGATATTTTAATCAATAAAGTCAGTACAAATTTCAAGTCATAATTGTCAGAAAACGGTAACAAAACTGGGATTAAACTTACTGATATGTTTTTTGAAAATATATCCGTGTGATTAAAGCAAACCGGCGCTCAATTTGAAAGTTCTTGGAAGACCCAATAAGACGTCCTGAATTTATTTTTTGCTTGAAAATGTTGATACATGTTTGAACTTTAAAGTGCAATTTTCCAAAGTTATATTGATTTGTTAATATAACTTTGTTCACATATCTCTGTCAGCTTCAACGAGTTTCCAAACAATTGTATATTGAAGCAAAATAAAACAAATGTTTTTATTTTCATGTAAAAATATTTTCCAACAGTTTTAAAACTCATAAGCAACTAAATGTGAAGCGGTCGTATTTGACCATCCATCCCAGATTTACACCAAAACCGCGGCTCGTAGCTCTTGCTCTTTACAATTTCTCGGTAGCCATTCAATACCCTATATAGGTCTTGTCTTCTAAATTTTTATCTCTCTTTCATACCTTGTTTGTAACCGAGAATCGAGATTTATCTCTCGTGTTCTCTCGGCCTATTTGCGAGATCTGTCTTTGCTGTGCGCGGCCATGTCACTCAATAAGATATGTCCTACCAGGTTCAGATACGATTGCTTTCAAAAAGAACTGCAATAAGCCGACATTAATAGTGAATGATTGTTTCCACTCCAGTATCTGGTTAATATTTATTTAATTTGAATATTTCTAATAAATATCCAAATATGGGACCCTATATGGTAGTGGGTGATTATCGAAGAACTGTAGCTTGGTTAAATTATCCATATGTTTAAAATTTAATGTACAGTTTTGGAGAACAGGAAATAGACTTATTAATCGGTTTCATTTCATTTGGAAAATTGAACTTACCTGAATATTTTGTTAGCTGTTCTCATATACGTTTTGTGACTTCAAGAACTGTACTGATTCTACAATCACTTAAATGCAAATTTTGAATAACTAGACACAGGTATTTTGTATTCAATTTTTGAAATTGCACATTGCTTAGCTACTATTGAAGTCCTGTCTCCGTCCTTTGAGTTCGGTAAACATTTCTCTGGGGTTTAAATTGCAAAATTATATACAGGGCGGCCTAAATTTTTGAGCAAAAACTTTAGCAAGCAATACAGACTGAAACTCCGATCTGTTTTCTTTATAAGCTATATTCAACAAATACGCTTTTGAGAAATCAAGGTCAGTAAAAATCTCAACAATGTATCTATTGTTATTAAACGGTTAGATATATTTCAAAGAAATTTGATGTGGCAACTACAATCGGCGGAGCAAGTTTTGGCCAAAATGAACGCATCTTTTTTAATCAATCTTATTTGAGAATGAAATGTTTGTAAGTGCAAATTATCTGTGTCTTTAACAGCCGCATTGTAGCAAACCTTTAAGTAGGTACTTTCACCATCCTCATCATCATGTAACAGCTATTCTATCCATTGTTGGACATAACCCTCCTCAAGTTGCTTTCACATTATGCGGTCCTCAGCTTGTCGTGACTATAGTTTTCCTGTGGTTTTGTCATATCTGTCGTCTGTCCTGGCCTCCAAACAGTCACCTTCTTTGTCCATCTGTTATCCTGGATTCTTGTTGTGCCCGGCCCGTCGCCACTTCTTATATTCGTTTCTTATTTGGTCTTGTAGTCTCACTCCAAGCATCGCTCTTTCAATTTTTCTTTGACATTGTTTAATATTTTATATTGTTCTAAGTGTTAATCTAAGAAACAGTTGAACTCTGTTTGTAAAAGTTTATCTGAATTATTTCACGATTCACGAGATGCTAGAACGTTGAATGCTGCCAGGTTTGTGCTTCTCAAAGTTAAAACTTCTAAATTTATTTGCAGTTTGCTCATATCGCATGATATTTCATCTGAAGATTTACTAGAAATTTTATGGACATTCCCATTAACTCAAACAAGCATTTTCGTATACAACACGCAATAAATCTTTCTCATTTCTTAAAAAAGTGTATGTGTGTCTCTGAAGCACATTCTGCGTTTGTATTTTACTAATTGTGTCTGGAGTTAGGTTTTAGCAAATCATCTCACATAATTAATACATCGTTAATCTACTTTTAACCAGTGAAATTATAATAATTAATTTGATCAAAACGTCTTAGTAAACTGGGACCGGCAAGGAAAACCCTAGGATGAAACATTCTGGGGTAGTACGGCCACGATAGTGAGTTTTATAAAAATATACATGTTTGATCACCTAAAGATGCTATATCTTTTCAAATAATGTTATCAATTTTAGCGTTATATCATAAAAAATTCCTTTTTATGTTACACATATTTTCTTTTCCTTGCCATATTTATTTACAGCAACACTTTCTGGGCGCTTCAAAATATGTTAAAGTTTGTATATTTCCTATTTGGTTGGGACATTTCGTTTGCAAATACAAGTGAACTCAGGGGCGGATCCAGCGTTCGAGTCAGGGGGGGGGTCAAGTAGTAGAAATTCAGTCTTTTGTTGTCTATGAAAATAGCAAAATTAACGTTAGTCGTTATAAACACAGCACAAGAAAAGGGTCATAACCCCCCTGGATCGGCCCTTGAGTGAACTTGAGTACGGCAAACGATTTTAGTACATAATTTAAGATTATTTTTGTGTATTCTAATTATTTAAATATAACAAACCAAAAATTCATTGCTGCAACTATTTTTATTTTGGCCTTGATTGGAACTTAATCTCATGAAGAAACGAATAGGTATTTCTAGGTTTTTGCGTTGTTTTCGATTTACAAATAATAAATTTAGTTTAACGAGTTTGTTTGTATCAAAGTCCTAGATAAATGTTGCTTATGAATCTTGTGCTTTTTTAGGGAAAACCTTATTCCTACAAGGAGTTGGACGGTAAGATTCAATAAACCATAATATAAAAAAAACATGTACAACCGAGACATTGCAGAATTAGAAATCGCCTCTGTTTTAGTATGGATCCGGAAAGGATCCTAATTGCAATGTTAGCAAACTCACCGCTATAAGACTGTGGTTCGCAAATGCCTCTTAAGTCCAATTTATTAAATTTATTAATATATTTTATTAAGATTAAGGCTAATGAAACGTTGACTGTTAATCGTATTAGTGACCATTGAAAAAGCAACATTCACGAGCATGTCGAGTGTTTCCAATCATGGGCGTGATTTCACAATCTGTGCTGGTGGTCGCTGCCAACGACAACTCAGAAACGATATCGTTCCGATTAACAGCGGCGGATTGATATACGCAATTTAGATGCAGGAAAAGCAACCACTCTTTGGGTAAAAAAACGCGCAGCACGGCACCGAGTACGTGGTGATTGACTGCGAATTGCTCATTATGCGCCACGGTAGATAGTATGACAGATTTAGGGATCATTAAGCCCAGATTAAGACTATTTTGTATACATTTTCTGAAGAGGCCTGCAACATTTAATTTGAACCGTGAATTTTATGAACTCCACTTGATTTTTCCTGCTTAGTTAAAAGAAAAAGCAAAGTGCATTCTTGAGTTTTAAAACCAAGTGGTCAAATCGCTTTGAAATCGTGCAGCTTAAAACTGAACAATGGCGTTTATTATTTTCTATCGCAAGTTGTTTTACATCAATTAAAAATAGTTCATAAAATATTACTTTACCCGCAAGGGTTAACAATTTGCTTAAACTTAGCAATGCAAATAGATTGCCTGAATTACGAGAATCTAATGAAAAATAAAAACTATATTTTAACTTCAATAAGGAAATCGATGTGTTGATGTGAATGATGATTTTTTCGCTGTTTAAGATGTATCATGATATAAGAATATTCGCTCAACCAATCCGCAATTTATGCCATTCAAAGGATTGACGACCAACAACAACTGGGAAGTTGCTGCCAGATTCGCAGCTCTCGCAGCCGAAGAACGGCGAATTTGATTGCCGGAATGCATTTCCAACTTTAATTCTTTAAAAATTTCGATACTTTCTGTTGAGTTTTATAAATATGTGAATTTCCGCATGTTGAATAGTGCATGTCTTCTGTAAATGGTTTATTGAGAGTTTCTTATAAGGGAAGTGATGAGAGCGAAAAGCGAAGACATCACAAATAATAATTCTGGGTTTTGATGTCAAGAAATTTAACAACTATTACAGATGTGAGAATTTTTACAATTTCCTATATCGGTTCATCGGATGATTGATTTTTAGACCGGAGTAACTTCGGAGCCTTCTGTGACCGATCGGATGGTAATCGAATATTAATTTTTTAAATATTCTTGCATGCAGCAACGGCACCAAGCGACACCAGAGAAGAAAAAATATTTCAGAGATTTACAATTAATAACAAGACCCAGGTGGAAAATGTTGATGAAGTTCCAACTGTATGAAATGACAAAATTTAAACAGGCGAACACTGGTAATTGTGAAATGGGAATGTAGCTTATGGGTTGAAAACATATTTTTGCAGTTGTAGATAATAAAAAAGTCAAAAAATTTTGTATACAACACTTTATCATATCACCTCAAATGAATCGTGAAAATGGCCAAAAACCGATTTTTCAGAGTATTGCTGATTTTCTGCCATTGAAACTCTAAAAAAATTCTGGAAAAAGCTGATCTCAGAACTTTGCAAAAATAAAGCGATTGATTCCAGCGCTCTTATGAAGAATGCAGATTGAATGTGGATCTTCTCTTTAGGTCACTATTCCACGACAAATCCAGCTGTTTTATAAAAAGACAAAGTTTCATCAAAATCGAACAAAAGTCCGAGAGCATTTAATGTATTAGGAAAGAGACTATTCCGCTCCATGATTGGAAGTGCTCATATTTGGCTGAAAAATCTGTTTTGTTCACGGCGACCAAAACTAGTTTGAACCAGAAACTTGCCTTTGAAAATATTTACGTGCGAACAGGCACTTTCAACAGTCAACAATAAAAAACCGGAAATCCAACTGCAAACTGATTCTTACAAATGTACGATCAATCAAACAATTATATTATCACGTTATTTCTGTAGTTTGCTGCCTTCGGAAAGTGGTAAAAGCCTCAATATCGCTTGAATTTTGGTTTGGTACGGGAATGAAGAAAATGTGTTTCCAGTCCTTTGCTGATTGGCGACATATACAGGATGATTTGGTGCCAATAAGGCAAGTGCGCTAGATTATCCATTATCTGCCAACTGAAAGATTAAAGTTTTCAATTCGGAGTGGATATTTATTGTTTGTGTAGTGTGAGTTTTCTTGGGGGAGGTTCAATGGGTACAAAATGGAAGATGGGGCGCCAGCTTCCAGTAACCTGGTAAATATGCTTTCTAATCTATAAATCCTTTAGCTTGAACTGAGTTTAGTTTTTCGAGGAGCAATTGAAGTTGATGGCATTTTTTATTTTCCTTTATTTCCTCTGTTGACTTTTTGAAAAAGTTTGAGTACTATTAAAGAATGTTTTCTTTTTTATCCAGGTGGTACGATGCAGTTTTTGCTAAGTTTAGAATTAGTTAGCTCTCTGGTTACCATGTAGATGTAGAGCTGTTAGTCCCATATTATTGACTTGTATTTTATCATATAGCTGATGTGTTTATTGGACAAAGAACGACGAAGGATGTTCTGGATTCTGAATTGAGTTTTGATAATTTTCGCATTTTCCTTTTGTAAAATTAAGTTAACCTCAGATATTATACGTTAACGAATGAGGTTCTCACTCTCTTGTCTCTCTTGTGATGCATACAACTATTAACTTTCTGTTGTGAACTATACTTTTTATGTCTTGGCAGGCAATTTGCATCATTTACAGGTCTTTTTCTTCTTAAAATTACACACTAAATTAAACTGCTCTTAAATTCTTAATTGCATTTTTCAAATTAAAAATGTTTTCAATCAATTTTCAAAAATGACTTGCGATGTTTTCTAAAGATCGTTATGTTGTGAAATACACTTTATATTTATAATTATGTATGTATATTGGAACATTCAGGGTTCTATATCTCTCAAAGCGTTGCAAATATTGATTTTTTCAAGAGAGCTGAATTTTTTGTTTTCAAATCTTACGAACAGTTGCGGAGTTATGCGAAACTAGGTGTGCAAATAATGTGGGTGGCAGTTTAAGCTTCTAACTTAAAATTCCATTTTCTCCAAAACTATACCCGCAAAAAAAACTTGTAGCAAAATAGCGTGTTTTCAGGAACAACTAACGCTTCAGGTCATTGCAAATTTAAACTCTAATTTAAACTTTTAAATTTGGAATTGGAAATAGCCAAATGAATAAAGTAGCAAACAAAATAAGAATAAGTAGCAAACAAAATACAATATATAGAGCTGTATCCACATTCTTATTCTTCTGTTGTAAGGTCGTGCCAACAGATGAAATGAAAAAATTAACACCCCTGATCAGTTTTCAGCTGCGCGATTTCAAAACGATTATGACATTAAATCTTAAAACTCAAGGATGTAATTTATTTCTTCTATTAAATAAAACTGGAGATACTGAGGAGTAGGTTAGTCCGTCAAATAGATCAATAAATTGCCAAAATCTGCTACGAAAAATACTTTCCAAAAATAATATTTGAAGAAGTTAAATCTGTGGCTAACAGGGGAGTTCAAATCGGTTTCCTGACACTTAAGTGCAAAGTTAAACGAAAACAGATTATTAATTTGGGAATAAATCATCTAGTAAAATTTACTAATTGAAGTTTGCGTACTTCAGAATTTTTCTCAGAAACGACTAAACCTAAGACATTAGTATAAACTTCCCTACGTGATGCCCATTTAAAATTCTATTAATCAAATACCGGTACTTATTCGCTTGTGATGCAAAGCAGAATCGTTTGTTCACAGAGACCTTGTCGCGTATCTCGCCGTGCCCAATAAAGTACTCACTTTTCCGTTGACAGACCTGCTAAAAAAATTCCAATTCCCCGTCCTGAGCAATTAAAAGCCAGTGCCAGGTTTAACAAAGGTTTGCTAATTAATTGATATACCGATTTGGTAGCAATCAGGTTTGCAAACGACGAGAGCTTTATGGAAAAAGTTTAAAATGCCAATCAGAATGTTAATTTCCTTAGCAGTGTTTGCACCGTGATTTCAACATTTTGTTTTAAACCGATTCTTTTAATATTGTTTATTAGACTTTACGTTATTTTTATAGTACCCCTAAAATACATTGATATAATAAAACACTTACATGCAAATATGTAAAAGACTAAAATAAATTATGGACAATTCTAGCAGCAAGGTAATTATGTTCGATTTATTCTATAATTTCCTAACGACCCAGTAGGTACATAGAAAATTTGTTGGAGCTGCAGAATCAGTATCGCTCTCTGGTAAATTCTCATGATCTCAGACGCAGCTTAATAGGCTTTGGCGGTGTGATTCGTGCAATACCAATTTTCTTAAATTACTGATTCGAAGGCATCACTTATGGTTTAATGGTGCTTATTTATTATGACTTAACGCTTCTGGATGTCCAATCATGTAAATTTGAATTACTCGTATGGAAATCGTTAGATTTTTATACAATTATTTTATATCTGCATGGAAAGTTTAAAATACTAGTGTTGTGCCGACTTTTGTCAAATAATGAAAACAAACACATGTGCTTACCTAGATGCATTATTGTGGTGATATATGGGTTCCTTCCTCTAGTACTTAAAGAGGAGCAGTTCCATGTCTGTCCAGCCAACTGATTTTGGCACTCCTTAACACCACTATCTAGCCCCAATAAAATAGCCGATTAAAGTAACAGCTTGCATTTTATTTCACTATTTTGCTAACACGGTTTATGTAATTTAATAATACCATTTAATTGAAGTAAATTTATTTTGATGGCTTATACGGCGGGATTCAAAATTGAGGCCATTGGTTTTAAGGGTACAAGATAGGCCAAAGATATTAACATCTGAAATTCGAATTTCAACTTTATTACTAAGCATTATAAGTATTAGTTTGAAATGGGCTGATGTGTGATTGGTAACCTATTAAAATATTTCAGTATTGGAAGCATTGGAGCACGGTTTTTACATTAAAAAACGAACGGAATAATACACGTCTGGTGTAGAATAGTGTGCGGAAGAGTAATAGGATAAACTTACTTTGAACAGCCTCTAACTGGATAACTATACAGGCTGCTCGACTCATGCTCTATTTGATACTTGCGTTAGATTGTGGTCTACTAGGGTTTCAATTTGGTCTGTTACTTTTAGGTGGTTTTTCACGTGTTCGCTTACCTTCTGATTTTCGCTCTGACCCCAGTCTTTCCAATGAGGGGTTGCCCTTGGCAGTTTGTCCAAAATTTGTGATTTTGTGGCCAGACGTGCGTCCGTTTTCAGATCTTTGATAATGGAGGCGATTTTTTAGAGAGTCGCCCATTGTATTCGTACTAGTCGCTAATAAACCTCCTCCATTTCCAAGACGTATATTCTCTGCTCATAGTTTTCTTTTAGAGTTTAGGTTTTGAAGCCGAACATAGTACTTAATAATAAAGATGAGAGTTTATTATTAAGTACTATGTAGTTATTATTATTAGTATTAATAAGTACTCGTTTACTTATATCATAAAGATGAGAGTCAAAAAAAAACTGAATTAACCTGAAATGGAAAGGATTAAATATTTACTATTAGATACGAATTTGGGGGCTGTCGTAGTGAAGGGCAAACAAATATGACCAATTAAAATAAAAGCTAGCGTTTACCACCTTCATTTTGCATATTTGTAAGCAAAATCTCAAAAGAAGCCTCTGCACTTAACGGAGCTGCTTATTATTTTTGTCTAATGGAATAGCCACAAACAGAAACACATTTATCGTCTGTGGATTTTGCCGACGCTCCTCGACACTCGATGAAAAGGCGCAATTATATCAAAGCACCAAACTGTTGTACTTCTGGGCTCAAAAGTATCGTTTTACTTTACCTATAAATATTACGTATGTGTGTATTTCTGTTGTCTAGTATTTAAATTTAATCTAATGTTTTTAATTTGCAATTTTTTATATCGCTCGTTACTATTAAAAGTTGTTGGATGCCGCCCAACCTCGCCCACCAATAGCGCCGCCACTTCCAAACTAATATTTGTATATAAGAAATCGCTTATTTAACTGACCCTTTTTTAGATTATACGTTAACCTCTGGACTCTTTCTGTAAAAATAGATTTAAAAATGTTGACCTAATCTGATGAAACTTTACCATAGGTACGTTTTCAGCTTAGTAAATTCTTTTAGATTGACCATTAAGAATAGTGGACCTAAAGGATAAAATTAATCTATATCAATTAAGAAACCAGAAAAAATTAGTGACTCCAATTTAAATACTCTCAACATTAAAGGGTTCAACACGGTTTTAGGATCTCATTTGAACAGATCTCTTGTATTCACTTAATGGGCCTATTAATATCATGAATATATCAGCTTACTTGCTGTTGAAGCTATTTATTTTTTAGATATCGTTCCAAATACTTGCTTTACGGCACCCACAACAGCCTCAACTATCGGCTTTCCCGTGTGGAATTCGACATTTTCTATAAATATATGTAAGAACAAATTCTATATAATTTAGATCGGTCTCTCGTAAATTTTGCATTCAAATTTATTATTATAAAAATACAATATAATCAATTTCGAAGATCAGTAGCGTCATGCTTGATACATAGCTGACATACCACGGTATCTCTGAAGGAATACCGTCGACGGATTAAAACAGAATCAACGTGGGAACCCAGACAATCATGCGAACAAATCATTTAGCTGTCCAATCTAATTAAAAAAGTTCGAGGTGAGTATTAGATGATGACGATAGAAGTGAAATGTGTACTAAAATGGTTTTGCACATTTTCTGAGCAATAATTCCGGATCAGATGTATTTTTGATTTACATTGAAAAAGTGGAAGCACATTTTTATTCTTGCTATATGGTGGCATAAATAAAGCCAGTAATTAAAGGATAATTTATTCCGCTATTAGCAAATTGGATTGCATGACTAATATTTCTAAAACTATTATCCCTGCGTTCCTTTTTTTTTAATGCCGATAAACAATAGATTACTGCGACTTTCTGGGAGGTAACTTTTCATGTGCAACTTTTGAGCACGCGTTTTGTGAAGGGAAATCTTTGGAATTATTACGTCATATTGCAGAATACCATCCAATTTTGGGTTAGTGCTCAACTGAAGCACTAGTTGACCGCATACTCGGTTCAATTACCGAATTTGAAAGGATTGTTCTGACTAGGTCAGAGTCAGCTTTTAGCAATATCTTCAACTCAATTTGTCGGCCTCTTCTTTTTCTTATTTTACGACAATGTCTTGGTTTTTTCAAAGCTGCAGCCTAAGTTGTGACTTCGATGCCCAGCTTTCGAACCATCGTTTGGGGGTCTACGGTTAGTTGCCTTCATCTCTTTTGCAATTTTTGGTTGTCGATTATCATCTATTATGTCGACTTGGTCCCTCCATGCTCATCTTCTCATTCTGGACAATCTTTAATTGATCTTAGCGTCTTCCTTTCGGTTGGTCTTAACAGTTGATTAGTAGCGGCTGTTTCTCTCCTTATCATCAGATTATTATAATTAATAGGCACATTTTACTAAAACCTTATTGTGTGTGTGTGTAAAACCTGTGCTTATTCAGTAGAGGCTGCAATCATCGCTTTATTAATCATATTTTGGCATATGAAAACGGACAGAGCTTATTTTTTAGTCTTTGCAACATAATTCTAATGGAAAACATCTCTGCAATTTACAAATAGAGAATGATTAATAATACCAATAATTGTATTCATTATTTAAAAAAGAACAGCATTTTCCACATTTTTATACCAATATATGGCTTATATTGAGCAGCTCCCTCAATCTTGCGTAATCCACATCAGTTCCACGATTCTGTTGCTACAATAATATTCCTACTCGAGCTAGACATAATATTAAATTAGGATTATGTTTCAGCTTATGATTTCTGCTAAGATCAGCACAATTTAGGAGTAAATACAGTAACATCAGGAACGCTTTTATTGTTGCAAACCAGTAAAATATTAGGTTTAAACAATGGTTCTTTAAAAATTAAGTATTCGAGAGAATTTGGCTGTCCATCGGAGGGTAAACCACAAATTATTGGGGTCATTTTCATTATTATGAAAATTTACCTTTATAATGCTGTCTCTTAGTACGGCAAAAAAGAATCAATGTTGCGTGGTAGTATACTAAGTTAGTGATATTTTGCTCAAGCTTCGGATTGGCCACACAAAATGAACTAAATTACCTCTAAATATTTTTGTCTATCCATTTTGCATAATGAATGATAAATAAAATGTTGAAAATTTTATCCGTTTTACATGCAGCCTCACTGTATGTTACAGAATCACTATATCCCACTATCAGTTTTCAGTGTAGTGTTTATAGTGTTATTCGATTAAATAACAGAAGCTTTGATAGTTTTGAATTTAAAATATTTTTAACACCATTCAGTTTTTCAATTTGTTTCATGCTTAATCGGGTATGCACTTTGTTGCAACATTGTGAAATATGATTATTGTATCCAAATTCAGCATGATATCTTACTTGCGATGAGAAGATCTAAACAAAATACAAGCATGCCGCATTTTTACAAAAAATCTACCAGCATATTTTATAATAATTGGAGTTTTACTTATCACATTTATCAGCTTTAGATATTAAAGCTTTATGTTTATTCGCTTTCAGAATATCTGCTGCTGGCAATAAGCACATTGTTAAAATTTTCAGTCAATTGGTTCCAAAACTTTCATCAATTTGACAGCGTACGCGTGTTTCTTCACCATATAAATGAAACACTATTCCTTTCTGTTCTAATATGGATTTTTCATATTTCAGTTGCCTCAGATATTACATAGTTTCAAACATTAATAGTGTATAATACATTTACAAAAGTATCCTTTATTATTCCAATGGTGCAACTTTATTTAAATCAGCATGCTTGAATAATTTATTGCCTTTGATTTGATTTACAGTGCTTTCCTTTAAATCATTTGTTTTCACAATAATAAAAACATTGCACAGGGAGTGGAAGTCTATTTATAAAGCAAACTCGGTCACTTATAGCAACAGTTTTTAATTTACAGAGAAGTCCTAAGTCAAGTGAAAATAATTATTCACTATCACACATTATTTATATAAAAGGAACTGAACGGGATATATCATTAATCAGGTCGTGTATGGGTTCATCGTTTTAACAAGGAAGCAAATATGTATTCAAAATAAATCAGAAATATTTGTTTCGAGCGCAACAGAATACATTTAAAATTATGTCATGATTAACTATTTAATAATTCATATTTGACTCAAGTTAATTTGTTAATACCAGTAAATGAAGCGTTATGTGTATAAATTAATCTCGGTTTGAGCAATACTTACTGCAATATACGAAAGTCTGGAAACTTTGAATGATTCTTTGGGCTCGCCAAGTAATTCATTTGCAGTTTATGTTGTGTTACGACGCGCGATTTAAAATTATAAAGCATGTTTTTGTGTGATATTTTCTTGTGGAGATACTTGAAATCCTATTAACAAAAAAGAAACTTACCGAAAAATCAAGAAAAATACATAGACTACCAACTGAAAATAATTTAGAATACATCTTAACCCCATACTTTCACACTTGTGTATACACTCAACAGAAATGCTCAATTCTTCTAGACTTCAATTTTGTTAAAAAATATAAATGATTAGCAGAATCATCCGAATTCCTTAGTGCGAAAAAGGTTTTAACGAATCGTGGTGATATTTTTTAAAGATCATAATAAATTAGCTATGGATAAAACCACAAACTCCGAAATATGAAGTTTTTGTCTTCGGTACTCGAAAATATACAGTCGGGACTAGAAAACCGTGCCCTGATAAGACCTGGATCATCAAAGACACGAGATTATGGAATCGGTGTTGGCGGCGTGCTTTGAAGAAGACCGATTCAATCTCAGGCACGTGGCTGAGATAATATTATGCTTTTGTGGGGGGAGTAGTAGTTAGAGTAGGGAGAAATTCCAATCAAAATTGTCTTAAAACTATGTAAGTATTTGGTTTGTATGCTCACCTGAAAAAACGCAAATGTAATGAAATTCCAATTAAAACCTTTCGGAAATAGTAGAGTTCGGAGTAACCCGATCTCCAATTTACTATTTTTTTATTTTTATTTTATTATATTTTTTCCTGGCCGAAAAAAGAAATATCAAATCGCTTCTTATAACATTACCTTATTGGGTTTAATTTGAATTTATAATCAGTTTTCAACGTGTTATCTAGTTTCTGAAAGAGTGTTAAATCGCTGATGCTCAACTATGTTAACTTGCTAACTAGCGTCACTTGAAAGAACAGAACTAAAGTTCTAAATCTATCACCATGGCATTTTTTAAATATTGTCATTATTCGTGTTTTTTTAAGTAGTTCAACAGACGATTTGAAATTTGTCCTATTACACTCCAAACAAACCTTTCTTATTTGTTTTGAATACATATTTGTCTCCCTGTTAAATGGCTGAACTCACAAACGATGTGATTAATGGCATCTCCCGTTACAGTTCCTTCTAAATAAATAATACATGATAGTAAATAATTATATTCACTTATTTAGGA